AAGATGAGAACAAATCAAACTCTAACTCCCAACAACTCCTAACTTTATACGACCGCTACATAAATATTTCATCTTCCTAATAATTTTTTTTAAAGAAAAAGATACTAAATAAAAAATGATGGAAGTATTACTTTTCAAATTTGTGTACGTATGTTATTTTTATATTTTGAGGAAATCTCAACTGCTAATCTGCTATATACTTTTCAACTATTTTAATTTGAATAACTTGACAATATATATATTTTTTTTTTTGTTAATTACTTGATGGCTTGATGCTATATATGAAGTGACAGATCCCACTAAATATTAGAAAAATTTACTTATTAATCCAAAAAAAAAAAAAAAAAAAACTAAGCATATATTGCAATGTAATGAAGTAAAAAGTAGAAGGTGAAATCGGGAGAGAAATGTAACATTAATCTTATAAATTTAAGTCATTTTATGCTATGAAATGTAGTTGTAATGTTGAAATAACATATTAGTCTTGTGTGAGATTATCTTGTATGAGACGTGTACTATTTTTAAATAAAAATGTAATGCAATTTAAGGATACGCTGTTGAGGAAAACACGTTGTCACTATCTAATGATGTACACGCAGTAAATCACACATAAAAGATAAATTACATTAAAAAAATCATATGTAACGAGCTTGATTGAGAATGTGTTGACAAAAATCAAACTAGTAAATCGTAACCTTTATATACGATAATTATATTTCATTCACTTCATTATACTTGACATTTTCTACTGCAGACTGATATTTTCTTTGTTAACTTTATTTCTAATTAATTAATGACGGTGTGGAAATTAAAGCAGATACATACCATAATGTGTGTCGGTTGAGATCAATTTAGTCTCCTGAATTTGGTAGTTGAATCCAAAACTAAAGTCCGATCCCAACACTAATTGCAATTGGTCCGTTGCTTTCTTTAGACTTTAGTGATTTGGTCACATGTATGTGTGCATATATTATGTGCTAATTATTGGCGTGTGTATGACGTGGATTAGGAATTTTAGAACAAATGAACTTATAACAAGATAAATCTGATAATTTGGTAAAATGTTGATACAAAGGTATTTGGTAAATGCATGATAGAGCTTGAGAGTAACACCTAATTCGTAATATAATACAAAAGGTGTAAGGTATCAAAATATAAAAGACCAACATTGTCACCCTATCCAGTCTTTAGGCCGGCCAGTATCCCAGGCCCTATTACATTGTAGTATCTGTTAATATATTTTCTCGTAACCTTTCAAATGGAAGTCCAACCCGGGTACCATTAGATCACATAGTCTTGGTATCCCAATTCCCAACTTAATTGAGCTTAATGTAATATGTTTTTGAGATACTGTTGGGAGCTCGGACCTGCATTATATTCTCTATTGCTTAAGAACCTTATTGGCATGTCTGATCTTTGGCGCGATTTATGTAGCTATTATTCAGTTTGTTTGTTTGTTTGTTTTTTTTTTTTTTTTTTTTTTTTCTGTTGTATTTAAAACAAAGTATAATTAAGAATACCATTATAATTGAAAGAGATTGAAAAAAATGAATGGTGGAATTATTATTTGCAATTCCGACCAATGTTCCATTGTTTGACCCTGGCAACAAGGTTTGGTAATACATATATCTATATTACTATATAGCAAATGGGATTATATTATCCAGCACACTTCACATCACAACTGCACAAGGTATGTGCTCAAAGCACATAAGCAAACAATCATCATATGAATTATTGCCACTTGCCAGCTAAAAGTAGGGGTGCAAACGAGTTGAGCCGAGTTTGAGCTCAGGTTGGCTCGAGCTCAAAAATATAATTGAAGCTCGAGTTTGATTTGATTATGAAATGAGCCGGCTCGAGCTAACTCGAAGTTGACCAAGTGGCTCGCGAGCCACTCAGCTATGATTATATATGTGTGCGTGTGGCTCGCAAGCAGCTCGACGAGTCACGAGTCTAAAACATTTGAGCTCGAGCTCAAGCCGAGCTTTGACCGAGTGGCTCGTGAGTTGCTCGGCTCATTTACACTCCTAACTAAAAGATAAACAAAAATATTTTTAAAATGTCTCAATGAGAGGGGTGATCGAGTGGGTAGAGCACGATTCTAGTATCAAGAGGTCACGAGTCCAATTATTATCAACACCCTCTCGGTCAAGCCCATCACATAAGCTCTTCCTAGTACAATTTATCTTAATATCTTGTGTGGTTTACTGATTATTACACAAAAGTAAGATTTACCTAGTACACACCCTTGAATATATAATTATAGAATATATAATTATAGAATGCGGGTTTCCCTTGAAACCTAAAAAAAAATAAAAAATAATAATAATAAAAAAATGTTTTACCTACTTTTGCGTGTGATATTCAAGCAATGAGATTACTATGCACAACATAATACCAAGTTAGACGCAGGAACACATACATTAATATATTAATCACAACTTGTGCTTCTTACGACGCCTGCTGAGAGATCAGACATACTTATTTGGAGTGTATTTTATGCAATATTTACTTGTGTAAAATATGAATTATTATCCAGTTGACAATCAATGTGTACATTAGATAGATATACATGTATTACGTACATTGTGTGGTCTCTAATTAATATACCTTTGAAATAATTAATGCTCCATATATATTACTCAAAGATGGTGATGACTGTCCTTAAAAGTTTAATAATAATAAGATCTTAACCTTTAATTTCTTTAAGATGGGGTGTGAATGTGTCCACACTTTTTACATGGAGGTGTTCAGTGTTCTCATGTCCTTTTAATCCCATTTTCCATATAAAAGATTTGGTAGATCAACATTGTCCATCATATCATTCGGTAGCTCTAACCTCTTCTGGTAAACTAAAGCCTATGGCGTTTCTCAATCATCAAAATGTAGAATTATTAGAAAAAGAATGTAGTGCAATTATATTGTGCGTTGAAATTTCATATATTATTCGTTGAGAAGGAGCTTTCGCATCATTTACTTGGTCAATGCATGATACCCCTTTAATTTTATTCTACAACAAAGTGGTTGTATCAATCAATCATACATACATATCTATACATGTATGTATATGTAGTATAGAGTTGGTATGTATACATGTATGTATATGTAGTACGTATAGAGTTGTAGAATAATACCCGGCCTTTCGATCGAGCCGCCTATGCTTAAGGTCTTCATACTACGGTTTACCTCTCATGTATAGTTTATCAAAACACGTTGAAGGTCGAGCAAAATTCTATCAAATCTGATATGTATTAAATCATCGTAACAATATGATACAATAGAAGGCTGACCAATCGTATAACGTGACCGAGAAGCTTTAAATTACAGTGTTTCTAGTAGTTGAAAAGTCCTCTCTCAGGTAACTAGGGAGCAGTGCCCGGCCTTCCGGCATGACGAGCATGTGGCATCCATGCACCGGGTCTTGCGGGGGCAGGCAGCCGCACACGTGGCAGGCAACCTCTGACGATACCTAAGCCTTCATCCTGGCCGAAACGAGCCGTGGAGCTACCCGGTCTTACCGCGGTTAACGGCCGAACCCAGGTCGACTGTAGAGCGGAGCGCGGGAGACCATATGATCGGGTGACCGGGTAGCGATCGGGGCGTACTAGTGATCGGGCGGGACGACCAGTCGAGCGTTCTTCACCCGGCGCTGCCCGACCGTAGGTCACCGTATCTGCGGGGTATAATCCCCATCAAAATCATATTAATTTTTTGGGTGTACCCAGGATTTTTACCGTCGAACGGATAATTGACCTTGAGATTTAATGCTACTCCATACCCTAAGGCAATGATCGAACCATTATTGACCTTTGATTAAGGATGGATGAGTCCTTACCTTCCACTCATCTCCCAGGTTGATCACATTGAATTGAGATAACAAGTAGCAACTTAATACATGAAGATTAATTTGCTCTATACATATAAATATTTACATTATATTTAAATAGTAGCCAAAGAAAATTGTTTCATTGTGTTCATCATATTCAATAAAGCTATATCTTAGTGATCAATTAATTAAAAAGATTAGTTCAGCCATATATGTTACAAACCGTGTTTTTGGTGAGATCAGTAGCTAATCCCCTCATCCAATTTTCGTCTGCAAATCAACAAACATATATCATTAGTTTTAATTTTAATTTTGCTATTATATATAATAATCCTACTTGCATTGCCGCCATATATATAAAGAACAAACATAGAAAAAAAAACAAAAAAAAACAAAAACAAATCATTAAAAAAATGCATATTTAACTACTCTAGGTAAGTGAGGTCAAGCGTACAAAGTAAGATCCTTTCAAAACCTTCCAAACATGCATTATTCTACATATGAAATTCATCTGGGATTTAGTCAATGTTCAAATTTCCATCCACCAAGACCGCTACATGAACCGTGATCAGCCAAGTTGGTCCCGCGACTGGTTTGGTAATCACAACTTCTCAGTTTAACTCTTAATATAACTGTTAGAAATTATGGAATTTTCGACCACCTGAAAGTGATCTTAAATCAAGTCGAAAACAAAAAGTGGTCGGAAATAACAACAAAGGTTTTTCTGGATACCAAAAGTGGTCGGAACAAGACTTTCGACTTGATTTAATATCACTTTCAAGTGGTCGAAAATTCCATAATTTTCAGCAGTATAGAACTTACCTAATTAAGCTGGTTTGAGTCGGTCAACACACTGTTGGATGGCATATTGACCTTCTTAGTTTGAGTATATCAGTGGACAACCTAATTAAGCTGGTGGCATATTGGTCTTCTTAGTTACCGATCATCTATAACAACTTAAACTGATTTAACTACTCCTTTATAGACTGAGGTCATTGAAATCCCCTCCCAACACCCTCTTTTCTATTATTGCATTTATTTTATATGTTTACTAATACATATTTTAGATAAGTACATATATTTTAATACAATTAAATAATAAAAATTCTTTTGCACCCTTCAATCATCACTTACCAAGAGGTATTTAAATATGAAACCTTGTTTCACAAAACTTGTGGCACCTGACCTCCAACTCGCATAATACATACACTATACATCTCTCAAACACAACATACACTCCAAGAAAACCATGAAGATCATCAACTTCAAGCTGCCCTTTTATGGCTTCTTCTTCTTCCTTCTCTTCTTCTCAAAACCCTCCCATCAAGCCTACGATGATGGGCCTCCTGTTTTTCCATTTGAAAACCCTAGACTTTACAATGCTTTCATTGCTCTCCAAGCTTGGAAACATGTCATCACTGCAGACCCCAAGAATTTCACCAAGGATTGGTATGGCCCCTACGTCTGCAACTACACCGGAGTTTACTGTGCTCCGGCGCCGGATGACAAGGAGATCCGTACAGTCGCCGGGATTGACCTAAACCATGCAAATATTTCCGGCACATTGCCGGAAGACCTCGGCCTCCTCACCGACTTGGCGCTTTTCCATATAAACTCCAACCGCTTCACCGGAACTCTCCCCCGGAGCTTCTCCCACCTCCGCCTCCTTTTCGAGCTCGACGTCAGCAATAACCTCCTCTGCGGCGACTTCCCCGCCGTCGTTCTTTCTCTCCCCAAGCTCAAGTTCTTGGACATCCGCTACAATCAATTCCAAGGAAAGATTCCCAAGGAGGTATGCCCTAACATAAACTCAATTAAACTTAGAAGTCAAATCTCGTATTAGCCAAAGCTCATAATGTCTCTAGTCATAGACTCATAGTCGATATCACCATCCTATATGTTGTCTTTGAAATAGTAGACCCTTAGAGAAACATTAATGGTTTTGTCAACTATTTTCGATGTTTGGTAAATAGCTGTCAGCTGAGTTATTGAGTTTAATTAGTTGATAACATTAGCTGATTGTAGAAAAATATTTGGTAAATTAACTATTAGCTGATAGCTGATTACATGTAAAATGACCTTCTCACAAAATTTATAGAAAAAACTGTTTTGATCAGCATTTTGAAGCAATAAGTTGTTACTAAAAGTTAATAGCGGTAAAAATTGACTAAATCACTCATTGACTATGGAAAATTGTTACAGGTTTACGACCTGAAACTCGATGCCCTTTTCGTGAACCACAACAATTTCACCGTCACATTGCCGAGGAACTTCGGAAACTCGCCGGTTTCGGTTCTTGTTTTCGCGAACAACAACCTCCGAGGATGTCTGCCGCCGAGCATAGCCAAAATGCGGAAAACCCTGAGCGAGATTATCCTGATGAACGTGAGCTTGGGCGCGTGTTTGCCGGACGAGATAGGGCTTCTGAAGGAGCTGAAAGTGTTCGACGTCAGCTTCAACAACCTCGTCGGGAGCCTGCCGGAGTCCATGGGGAAGCTGAAGAAGCTGGAGCAGCTCAACGTGGCGCACAACAAACTCTCCGGCGAGATTCCGGCGAGCATCTGCGAGCTTCCCAGGCTGAAAAACTTCACCTACTCCTACAACTACTTCTGCAGTGCACCGGAGATTTGCCGTAAAGTGAAGCACAAAAATGACAAAAAGAATTGCATTCCGTACTGGCCTCATCAAAGGTCGCCGGAGACATGTAAGGCCTTTTACTCTAAACCGGTGGATTGTAGTGTCTTAGGTTGTCGACCTAGAAGCCCACCGCCTCCGCCGCCGCCATCACCGCCTCCTCCCTCTCCCCCACCACCCCCTCCCCCACATCATTACCACTATCTCTAATCAAAGCATAAAAACCATTGACTTTACGGGCAAAACAACATACATAATAATTTATGTTCGAACCTCGTCGAACAAAAAGAATGATCTATGTATGTTTACATTCTCTAGTAAAGTTTGTCTGATTGGTACAAATTTTCAATTGTGTGATTTAACTTGATTGGGTGCATGGGAAAATGACAAATTTGGATCTTTAAATTATAAAAAACAACACTTTTGTCTATCAATTATATCGGTGATCAAGTGGTCTTTTCCGTCTCTGAATTTTGTGAGAGACAAAAAGTAGTAACAATATAATTGACCGATCAAAAGTGTTATTTTCTTATAATTTAAGGATTAAAAGTGTTATTTTTCTTTTGTATATTGATACAAGGAAAAAAAAAAAAAAAAAAAAAAAGGGTGAGATACGTACATGTAAGGAATATTTCTGTTTCAGTGTATTAGTCTTTTTTTTTTTTTTTTTTTGGAATTAGTTTTAACCAAAGCATTGACTTTGATCATATTGTAATAAAAATAAATTAATAATATTATTATATTTCTGTTGTCGCAGTATTGACCTGGCATTTGCGTAATTTTCTTTATTGCCAGCTAATTTTGGATTTTTTAAATAAGTAATAAAACTCAAATTTCAACGAATTAGACCAATAATGTGTTTTATAGTGGAAAAAAAAAAACAATTTAATAAGGTTTTACAGTGATAACATATGACTTTAAAAAGAAAATAAGGGATTGGGGGGATGAGAATGTGTATATTAGACTAAATGAGTACAAGGTGAATAGGTTATTGATTGGTCTAGAGGGGCCGGGGTCGAAATAGTTCGATTAAATACAAGATATATATGTTTAGTACCATAAGTAGTGTAGTAAATGCATGGAATATAGTCCTACGACTAAATAGAAATGAGCTTCCTTTCAAAATAAAAAATAAAAAATGAGCTACTTATACTAAGATTCTAAACAATGATATGATGGTACGGTTAAAGGCAAGTGAATTTAACGTGGTGCATTCCGGCCAATTGACGGAGGAAGACGGTCACTCAACTTACTTGGAAGTCTCATTAGACAGCTCGTCATGTTTATAATAAACACCCAACTACTAAATCGTTATGCTATGGACCCGTGCTGGACCCGTGTCCAGCATGCATGCTGGACACGGGTAACAGTGTCGTTAGGCATTGTTATCTCTTTCTTTTCTTTTTTTTTTTTAAAAAAAAAATTTCAGACCGCTTCGTTATAGGAGTATATGTTCATAATTTTATTACTATATGTTAATAATTGTACATTCATAACTCCATAACTGTACGTTCATAACTCTATAACTGTACAATCATAACTCCATAACTGTACATTCATAACTCCATAATTGTACATTCATAATTTTCGAAGCTCTATGTTCACAATTTTAGAGCTCTATGTTCATAATTTTATTAATATATGTTCATAATTGTAAGTTCATATCATAATATAATGTCAGAGCTCTTTGTTCATAATTCGATCAATAACTGTACATTCATAATTCCATAACTGTAGATTCATAATCTCATAACTGTAGATTCATAACTCCATAACTGTAGATTCATAACTCAATAACTGTACATTCATAATCTTCGAAGCTCTATATTCACAATTTTAAAGCTCCATGGTCATAATTTTATCACTATATGTACATAATTGTAAGTTCATAATGTTAGAGCTCTGTGTTCATAATTTCATAATTGCATAATTGTACATTCATAACGGCATAACTGTACATTCATAATCAAAAAATAAATAACTCCGTTAACGGCAAAACACGCGTGATTTTTTTTTAAACTAAATGACGCTTTTTTTTTTTTTTTTTTGAAAAACGACGTCGTTTTGGGCCGGTGTCCACAATTCATTGTGGACACGGATCCAGGACATAATTTGCCCCAACTACTCCAGTAGCTTAGTTGGCGTTGAATTCCTTTGCCCAGTCAGTATACTAGCTTATTGAGATATCTTCACAAATTGAAACATTGCACTTACTATTTAAATTATTAGGTCAGTTGAGTTGCACACCCTATAATAACCCATCAACTTTAATTTGCATAGAATTATTTTGAACCATTCATAATAGAGAAAACAAATATTGTTTTTAATTGGATTATTTTTATGAAAAATGTTTGAGATACTAAATTAGATGATGTTGTTGTACCTAATGCGGATTGGCACAAATAAGAAACCAAACTGGCCAACTTGTTGCTCCTATCTATTTGAACAAAACCCATATTATTGGACTAATTAAATTTGGTCCATCAAACACAATCATATGTATTATTAGATATTAGAAGATAAAAAATTTCTTAGGCAAAGAGGCACTTAACCGCAAAAAGGATTTTCAAGTGTCCCAGCGGTCTAGTGAAAATTTTAACAAGAAATTTTAAGGACGATATCATAGGGTTGACAATCTTCGCAATGTTGACACAAAACTATAACATTGAGCGAGTCATTTCCATTGTTATCCCCTTCCTTTGGATCCAAAATGTTTTTAAAAAAAATAAAAATAAAAATAGTAGACAAAAATTGTGAGTTCTCTAACTATGAATAACTTGTATAGTTGTTTACCAAAGATTCTGAAAGCTCTATCTTGAATAAGATTGCATAACAGCTACTATACTTAAATAAAATTAATAAATTCTATTTTTATCCCAAAATATTTAGTAAAGTACCTTAAGTACTTCAACCAAAAAATAAGTGAACGATGAAAAGCAAGAATTGAACAATATAAGAACATCTTCAATAGTAGCAAACTTTTGGTGGTTTTTATCGGGCCACATGTACAAGGAGTAGAGAGTGGAGAGAAAAAAGGGGGAGAAAAGGAAAAAGAAAAAAGAAGAAAAGACGTACAGTAAACTTTGATAGAGAATGCTTCATTTGGTTTTTGATTAGGACACACAAAGATCCTTGTATTTGTAACAGAAAAAAATTAATGAAAATCATACTTTTTATTTGTAAAAAATCAATACATGATTCTTTTTTTGCGGACAAAAAAAAAAAAAAAAAAAAAAAAAAAAAAAAAAAAAAAAAAAAAACACCCAAATGGAGATGCTCTAAAACACACTATACATTTAATACACAATTTTGTACAAGTAATATTTTTTAAGTACCACCACACCTGAAATACTCTGAAAATACTTCTTGTATTTGAAAACTATGTTGTACAATAATGTGAACCAGTCCGCTATAAAAACAACCTCATCAGTATACATGTAGGAAAGAGAAGGAAGGAAGAAATTAAAGAAGAGCAAAAAGGAGGGGGAGGGGGGGAACGGAATCTAACAAAGTATTTTGTTTAATACAAAATGCCCTTTACTGCACGCGCCCAACTAGGCGCAGTAGTTTTCTACACACGTTTTTGTAGCTGCTTCTTTCTCTCATTTTTCAATCAAGTGGACTCCACAAAATGTTTAACTTACAAAAAAAAAAAAAAAAAAAAAAAAAAAAAAAAGAACTCCCTCCATTTATTTAAAAAACAAACCTCAATCTTTTTTACTATAAAAAAGAATCACTAATATGGTTGCTCTAAACAACCTAAGTTGATTTCCCTCTTTGTAATCTTTTACTGACTATGATGACAAGGCAAAATTTACTCAATGCACACTCTCGAATAATGACAACAAGCTTCTATTGTTGTCACTCAAAAAAACTATGTTCCACATTAACTAGACAACCTATACCAGTAAACATAACTCTCCAAATGCAGCCAGCATCCTCAAATTCAATGATAGAACATCAAAGTTGAAGAATTTATAGGCTTGTCTGCAATCTGGCATGCAGTGCAGTGAAGCTAGCAGAAGTAGATATAACAGGTGATTTATCACTTCTAAAAAGTTTATTATTAGGACTACAAGGTTATTAAGGAAGCAAACAAAAGCTAATTTACAAATATAACTGCAGGCCCAAAGTCTGGAAAAATAACACCTCACTTATAACTACACTACAGACACAAACTTTCCCTGCAAAGTTGACAACAGAAAGGGCATCTCATCTCATCTCATCTGATCTTTCTTTCTTCATTGATTTGGAGTGAGAGAAGGGAATGTGGGGATGGATTGCAGGATGAGCTTTCTGCTGCTCCTCCGCCCCGGGGAAGATGATGATGATGTTCCAAACTCACTACTGTGATGATGATGATGAGGAGGAGAGACTCTCTTGCTGTTTGGAGATCCCGACTTTATGCCACTGATGGGAGACCTGCAGGTCGTTTGAAGAACTTCTGGCATTTCGTTCTCGTCCTCCTTGATCGTCTCGAACTGCTTGTCAAACTTCGGGAGCGATTGGAAGAAGCTTGGTCTCCCGAGTCCCTGGCTGCCAGACGAAGATCCAATGGAAAGAAACGATGATCTCGGTGGCTTGTTCTTGGACGGAAATGGGAATTGCATTTGCGGTCTGGAGGAGAATAATGTATGAATTAGGTGTGGAAAAGAAAGATCAGTTTTTTATGTCAAGAAACGATTTTTGGTTCGGGTGGTACCTCTTTAACCGAAGTGGAGTTGCAGGCAGTGCAGAATCGGGGATGTGTTCGATTTCATTCTGGGCGATGGCAAGCTTCTGTGAACTCCTTTCAACAACACTCTTCTCGAAGAGATCTGTTTCCTCGTCTTCCAAGTCGGGATCAGAGCCTATCAAGAAAAGCAAGAAACCAGACAAGGCTTATAGATCCTTCTCCATTCTTGACTCGTGGAGAAGCATAGAATCGAAGTATGTATAACCAAGACTCACCATCTTTTCTACCAAACGCGTTCTTACAGCCTTCGCATCTGCAATTAATCGAGCATCCAACACCACCCTAAACGAACAAGATAAATCAGCAGCTGACAATCAAGATTCAAGATTCAAGAAGCATATGAAATGTCCCGGGGGGGAAGAAAAAGAACCTGATAGCATTCGCAGTATTTCTTCAGACAACCCGATTTCTTGCAATTGCATCCTCTCTTATGCCGAGCAGAAGCAGGGGTTTTGTTGGAGTCATCCTGCAATGGCAGCAAAAGACAAATGATTCGAGTTAATCCCTTAAAGTCATTCGATAAAGCCAAAATTCGAATGCAGAAATCTGGTTCTACTGACCCCCGTTTCAGACATAGAGTCGGTGGACCTTATCACTTTGGGAGCAAACGCAAGTGGATTTCTAGACTCGATCTGTTTGCGAGTTGCAAGGACCATATCTTCGTGAATAGGCTTGTTGAAACACTCTTGACATAAACAAGGCTCCACACAGTAGACACCGGCAGCAAAACATTCACAATAACTACAATCCAAAATCGTATTAGAAATCATTCCCAATCTATAAATAAAAAGAAAAGCTTTGGAATGAAACTCCAAAAGGCAATTAAGACTTACAGTTTCAAGCATTTAGATTTCTTGCAGTTGCAGCGCTTGCAACTTTCGCCCTCTTTAGAATCCACTTTACGCCTGAAAGTCCAGTAATTCATAAGATGAAAGTGCAAGAATGTAAAAATGTATTCTTTCATGGGGAGAGGGGAGAGAGAGAGACGTACTTCTTTTTCTTGGGACTAGTCTGGCTGAGCTCTTCATTACCAACGTATCGAGGTTCTTGACTAGCGTCTTCGTTAAGAGAAGCTCCATTTCGCGTAGGGACTATTTCTCGTTCTGAAGAGACTACAGCCAGAGAATTATTCAACGATTCTTGACTGGTAGTTATCAGATGATAATTGGCAGCCGAGGTGGGTGCAATTATCAGCTGTTTTCCTGAAGAAGCAAAAGATTCGTGTTTGGCACCCTTGCCATCCCTAGGAGTTACAGCAAGGGCGTTTAAATGCAAGCCAATTCCAGGTAAAACGCGCCTCGAAGATTCATTCACAGCAACCAAATGCTTTTCAGCAGTGTTTCCATCATGTTCAGCCAATATGGAAGAACTCGAACCTGAATTGTCATCTAAAGGTTGTCTCCGAGCTCCGTTCATCTCAAAGACTAAACAGCGCCTCCTCATTCCACGATATAACCCGGAAACCATCTGCAGGACCAAACACGAAAAAGATTACTCAAGAAATTTAGCAGAGGCTAAAAAAAATGGCATCATTCAATTAATAGGATTCCTCACCTCAGCATCAATCTCGTTTGGGCCCCCAGTCATGGCGTTGTTTAGAGAAGAATCGGGGATTATGTCCTGGGTTTCGGAATATTGGTGGAGTTCATTTCCCCCGCCCGGTTGGGCAGATTGGTTTTGTGTTTCACTTCCATCGCCAACTAATTCACCATAACTAACCGTACTAAACGTTTCCATGTTCTGTATCTCATTGGCGACAAAGGGAACAGACCTCGGGCTTGAATCCATTGCTTTCTTGAAGGCCTCTGCGTCATTGGGCGAATCAAAGATTAACAGATCAGCGGCATCGGGCATCAAACTCTCCCATTCACATCCCGAAGCTTCTTTATTCCTATCAACTTCACTTCCCATCAAACCTTTCCCCGACACATCTTGCACCAACGGGATGATTGTCACCGAGCTACCAGCAAATTGTAACAAGTTTCTGTTTTTGACACCAGAACTTGGCATCGGGCTGGAATTCGGGCTGCTGCATTCGTAATCTAATGTTCTTACAAGCTCGGATGAAATCTTTGTTGATTCATGAGGAGATGGTTGGACAGAATCATCAACAATGCAACTTTGAGGATCAAAGCTTTCCTCTTTCTCACTGGCATCATTAGCAACATCTAAATCATTGCCCACAGGTCTCTCAACTCTATGATCATTATCAGAAGAAAACTCGGGTTTTGATGGATCAGGAAGTTGATGCCTGAAGAAAGAAACAAATCAACCAAGAATGCTAGAAAGTAGATACACACTGATAAAAGCAGACTGCCATTATAATTTACTTGAAAGAGCAAATAGCATACCTTCTTAGGAATCTTGATTCCTTCACTGTACTCACATGGGGTGAAGTGAAAACAGATGGAAGAGATGCAAAACTGAGGGAATTGAAACTCTGAGTGATGTGTACAGACTTAACCGGCTTGATGGGGGAGAGGCTGTTAAGGAAATTGAACACAGGGGAGTCCTGCAAGCAAGGGAGAAAACATATTCAGAATGTTCGACAAAATCCAGCTCAAAGAACAATACACTTCAAAAACAATGTACTAAATGCATAAGATCAATAGCAGCTAAAGTAACAGAGAAACACATGACCTAGCAGCAAAATCATAATGTTAACATTCAATATAACATTAGTTTCCAGCCATCACTTTAGATTCACCAAGAACCCTAACTTTGCTCAGCAGCCAGTAAATCAGCAAAAACCACACTTGTTAGTAGTCCAAAACTACTAGATTATTCTTCAAATGGCAGATATCTTAAGCAAAAAAGCTTAATTGATTCCAACACTTCAGATCAGATAGAATAGAAAGGGGAAGTTGAAATGAAGAAGAACTCATAAGTTAAAGAAAAACCATTCTAATTCTGACCCTTTAAAGAGCAAATTCACACATGCAATTGCCACAAGATCTCATTAATTAACCAAATCCCTCATTTGCTGCCAACGCTTCAGATCAAACAAATTATAAATGGAAAGCAAAGAAGAAGAACTCCCAACTTAAACAAAAACCATTCTAATTCAGACCCTTCCAAGAGCAAATTCAGACATAAACATGCAAATCATTTCAGAAGCATGAAAACTTCAGTTTAGTTACCCAACTAAACAAAACCCCAATTAGTCAACAATCTTCAGATAAACCAAAATGCCATAAATCAAGCACCTATTTCGCAAATCTTGGAACCTAATTGAGCGCAAACAACGTTAAAGACACAACCCGTGGAACCAAAAACAACAAAACCAGCTAAAAATGCAAACTTTAAGACCAAATCAGTAACAAAAACCTCAAATTTGGAAATGGGTGTCGCGATCTGGTTGCTCTTGTTCCTCTCCGGAGTATCCATCACCCCTTCTCCTCCTCCTCCTCCTTCTTTCTTCCTCCCCTGACTCTCAACGCTCTCTCTCTCCAAAACCACACTCTCCACCCTCATCCGCGTGGTCCTACGAACGCTTCTCGCTATATATCTATATGTATATCACTTATCTGTGGACCTCACTCTCGCTACTATCTTCTCCCACTGAACGCTCTCAGACAGACTTCAAGAATGTATTTTTTTTTTTTTCCCTCTCAGCGAGGAAAGAGACGAAATTCAAGAAGAAGCGGGAAGACGGGGAGAGGAATAGACTTTTCTCGTGCTGATAAAGAAAGACTGGGACCCTACCACCCACCCACGCCGCTCACCCCACCCCCACCCCCTCACCCGGCACCACCACACAAAGAGAAGATGCCACCGCAACACAACAAGCACAGCTGTAGAGCGATACAAACATTTGTAGCATCACATTACAATAATGTTTAGAGAGAGAGAGAGAGAGAATTTTTTGAGATAGAGCGAAGAGAGGGAAAAATTATAAAAGTAACGTACACTAAAGAACGAGTCCTCCTAGTTTTCATTTATTTCGTTCAAGCCCCGTAACTTTTTCTTTTCGTGTTTGACAATGTCAAGATCAAGAATCAAAAACTCAAAAAGTGCCAAAGAGGAAAGAAGGGTTGAGATTTTTTTATCCTCAATTTTGGAGCCATAATTTTCTGACTTTTTTCTAAACTTGTTAGTATATTTCTCCCACTTTTTAGGTGATAAATCAAATTTATGAATTTTTTATCAAATCTGTATAAATGTCGATAATATTAAGTACAATCATGTATGTATTTAATAATATTAGTTACTGATAATATCAAATGTCGATAATTTTACGTACAATTATGTATGTATTTGATAATATTAGTCACCAATAATATCAATGTTGATAATATTAAGTATAACAAAAAATAGTATATTTAATTATACCCAACATTATTAGCATTAATGCTAATCAATATGATAAACGTTTATATTTTTCGATCAAGGAGGAAGGAGACCCCAAATAGAGGAGGCTAGCCTCTCATTCACATTATGTGCATATTATTGACTAGCTCATTTGATCACTAGTTATAAACTTTTTGATTTCCAGAGGATGATAGTACACTCTACCCCAATCCCTATAGTGGTGAGCACCAAGCTTAGCTAGGGACTCAATCACTATGTTTTATTTGCGATAAATGTCCTGAATTCTGATAAATTTTTTCTTAAGTTTATATATTATGATTATGATTTCTAAAAAAAAAAAAAAAAAAAAAACTATATGTTATGATTTTTCTTTATGTCCCGAATTGTGATATATATATTTTTTAAAATTTATATATTATAAATTATATATATATATATATATATATATATATATATATATATATATGGCATGTAGTATTGCATAGTGGTTTCTATAGTGTAATTTGACGGTAATTAAACATAATAAAATTGAATTTGAATTTGTAGATCACTTTGGTTACTCTAATGATTACAAAAGTCGTCATAAATTTCACCAAGAGAAAAATGACGAGAGTTACTTTCACTCCTAATTGCTTTTATGGAGATTTTGTATATTAAAATTTACATTATATGTTATACTTGTAAATTCATGACATTATCTTTTGGATTGGGAATTCAACATTTTTCCATCCCATAATTTGAATTTGTAATAATGATAAAAATAACAATAATTTAATGCGCACGTTTAACATTATGCATTTATTTTACTCATTAACAGTTTTTATACATTTTTCAACAAAACATTAATCATGTATTCTTGAAATATGTTGGATTATTTTCTGGCATTTATGATTACAATGATTACATTTTAATTGTGCGATTAGTATGATATTTATATTGGGGAATGTTACAAATATTCCTGCATTAGTTGACAATTAGTGGCTCAATAATATAAAATTAATATATCACTTAATGACAAGTTATTTAACTCATATTAAGTGATATATATAATTTTGGGATAAAATTTTTCAATACAAATCTTGGGAAAACTTTATAATGCCAAGCACATTGTGTTTAGATGACACCTCTGTAGCTTCCCTTGAGGGAATGTCACAGGATCAAATCCCGGACCACGATGGTGGGATATTTACTATTTGGACTGCAATAGTTTAGAAAAAGTATAAAACATATACTTTATTTTTATTATTGTTTTGGTTTTCACGTTAAAATAAAACGCTCATCCAATATTATTTATCACTATAATACTAATATGACTTTTAATAATGCCCACAAAGTTTAACTCTTATTAATGTCTGACATATAAACTTTAATATGGTGCACTCATACAATAGTCTATTTTATGACCTTGTAATTGTAGAAAACTAACCACTCTAACCTGCTAAGTTAATGTTCAACTCACTAGTTCAGTATGCAGTATTTTTAAGAAGATAACAAGGTTTGAACCTGGACAACGGCAGTTAGTAGTGGATCCAGAAATCTTCGCCAGTAGGGGTGAAAGATTAAAAACTAATGAGATATTTTGAAAAAAAAAAAAAATCTTTTGAGGTTGAGTGCTGAGTCATAAATATTGTTAATTAGGATTAGAAATTAAAATACATTATAATGAGATAAGAAATATTCAAAACAAAATATGAAATATAATTAATTAGATACAATAATTTGAATAGAAAACATATTATAAGACACTCATATCACTATTAATATTTAAAAAGAGAAAAAATACAATGTTACAAATAAAGATTCCACAAAATATGAAGTATAATTAATTAGATAAAAATAGTTTGAATAGAAAATATATTATATATCACTAATATCAACATTAATATTAAAAAATTAAATTTAAAAAAACACAACGTTACAAATAAAAAATTCAACTTGAATTAATATCAATATATATAAATTCATGCTTGTAGGATTATTTGAACCCATAACATTTAGGGAAAAACCAAATTTTTAGGTATATTTATAATTTAATTATGTATACAAGGAACCTATATATACATTATATATAAATGGAATGAGGTGGGGGAGTGAAAGCAACTGCTGCCACTGTCCCTATTGTGGCTCCGCTACTGACATCAATGTGGGATTATACCTAAAGTGGATAGATTGGCCGGTGCTAGCTTTAATTTCCTGCATGCCATCTCCTTTGGACCAAACCCTTCTACCGTCATGGCTTCATGGCCATCCATCGTGCCCTATTCGGCTATTCATGCCCATGCATAACCCATGCCTCATCAAGAGATAGCTTAGCATGATATGTCTTATTTCATAAACGTATCAATTAAACACATTTTGAATAAGTGTGAATTCATTTCTTTAATAAATAGTATAACTCTAATTAAAACTGGGTGTGGTTATGAATAATATATATGACTAATATATTCTACTTGTGTGTTGTTTGTCTAGAAATAACAACCCATATAAGGTCACACTTTTGTCCGCAAAGAACTATAACATTTACTGTGAATTAACTTTGGCAGCAAATTATAAAGTTATACTAGTGCAAATCGACTAACAATTTTCAATGTGAAATAAATGTTATTTAAAAGACTTCTCAAACTATTTTTTTTTTCCAATTTGATATACTTTGAAAATCAATTTCTCACTATCTCTATGTTGAACATATAATATATCAAATTCACCCTCGTTTAAATTAATAGAATCTTAATCCACTTTGACCTAACCAAAATCAGAAGTGGTCGTCGCCATTCAAAATGAACGATTAAAATGTTAATTTTTGATAAGTTTGTAACACATCATTTAAACGAACGAGAGAGCGCACTCCTAGCTTATAAGAATTATTAAGAGAGGCAAATTAAAGTAGAAGATGATGGTAAAGAAAAAAGAAGGCATGATGAAGCATGGGATGGGAATGTTGTATGTGACTAACTTTGTTGGATTTACCTTTAACTTTTATTTCATTACTTTGTCAAAATCTTGCGGGAATGGCGACCCTCTTTATTGCCTAGCTTTAATGCAATATAATTCTTCTGATCATATTTTGTACTGTATGTATGTGGTCCTCTCTTTAGTCTTTAGTAAAGGCCAACCTCGTCCTTCACGTGACGCCACCCTTTTATAACCACTCCCCCTTACCATACTTAATTACTCTACCAAATTCCCCCCCTTTCATGCTGCATTGTCATACTATCTTACCTACAATTATGTTTTATATTAATTCATATATTCAATGCACAACACAATTCACTCTCTTTTTTTTCGAATAACCAGAGAAATTCACAGTCACTATATATATATAAAAATATGCATTGAGTAAACTCAATTTATGTGTAATAGTCTTCAAGTCACACATGAAAAGTAAATTAAACCATGCTTAGGAGATCATGATGTGTAACGAACTTGATCAAGAGGGTGTTGACAATAATTGAACTTGTGACTTTCTATTCCGAAAATTATGTTCCACCCATTCGGTCATTCCTTTCTAGGCAACAACTCGCTATTTCACCATATATGAAAATGTGAATGGATATATTATTATTATTATTATTATTTATACACATTTACAAATTTTTTGGTATGAAAATCATGCTCTACCTACTTGGTCATCCCTCCCATAAGCTCGCATCAGCTACCAGAATGTGCACTCTGGGTGAATTTCGCTTTGTGACCATAATCAACAAATTGATAACAAAAATGTAAGTCGACATAGATTGACTAACTTCTACAGAGAGTCAATTAACTTCATATTTCGTGGTTATCAAAGTAACTGTTGGATGAGTTATCTAAATATAAAAACTAACACATGCATATATGATATATGTGTATGTGTGTGTGTGGCGCTAAAGCATACAAATTTCCTGCATCTGCGAAAAGCCTGTAACATATATATTCTAAGTATAAAAACATTAGTACGTACTTTTCCAACTTCCCACATTCTCTGTAGGTTATTTAGGGCAAATAATAAAGTTTAGTTTCCATGTTATGATTATGTCCGCAACATGCGTGGTCTGGCATGTGACAACAAGCAACCATCCACCATGCAAGACTTGCAATCTCATTATATATACATACATATATATATATATATATATATATATATATATATATATATATATATATATATATATATAATTTATTTATTTACTTATTTTTTAAATTTCTGAAGATTTGGATTTCAGAATCAATGAAAGATAGATGCAATCTGGTACTAAATTATATGATTAGGTCCAATGATGCGATATCCGATTCCTTTAGTACTTGGCTGTGTCTGCACACTCCAATACCTTTTTTTTGGGGTGTGCTCAGAATCTTGAAAATATACATATAAAATAATATTAATAATAATAATGTTAAATATTAATCACAGTTGACTAATATAATGTTGTAGCTTGTAGGAGCTAGATTTGATCCCATTACAATTTGCGTTAGACAAAAGGACAAATAAAATAAATAAATAAAAAGATTAAACAAATACAATTTCATGTACTTGGTAATAGAGTGTTACTCTCTCGAAGCACGCTTTTAATGTATAGTTGTTTTTAAAAGGACTAAAAATTTGATATTAAATAGTAATCGAAGCATGTTTTTAATGTATAGTCGTTTTTAAAAGGACTGAAAATTTGATATTAAATATTATAAAATACGTTGTAAATTTTTTGAAGGACTAAATGTTATATAATAGTGATGAGTAAAACATGTAGTCAATATTTGATGATATGCATTAGGTAAGTATGAGATTGTGCTGATAAGAATTATCCGTAATCTCTCATATGAGAGTGCAACCTTGGTGTCATTAGATTTTAATGTCTTGGCAGTAATTTCAATTTTAATTACATACTTAATGACTTCGAAGTCATTGTTTGACATTAATTTTTTTATTAACAAAAAATATAAAATATTTATTTGACAAGGATTGGAAAATGGGCATTTTGTCTGGTCTTTGTGTTTCATTGGAAGTGGGGTTGGAACATGTTGTTTGTTAAAGAAAGTCCAAGCACAAGAAGATAATGTAATCCTCCAATGTTTGTCCAACTCCAACATTTTTTTATATTTAAAAGCATATTATAATATTATTAATTAACCAACAAATTTAAAATTTTAACTGCCAAGCAATAAATTGTCTGCAATATGTTTCTAGTTTCTACACCCACAAGTCAAACACATAATATAAATTAAACCAAGTCATTGTATGTTAGGTTTTCACACTAGTTTATGTTCAATGATAGTAGGGCTGATGTTCACTCACTTTATAACTATTGTACATAGTTGTTGGGTTCTTGCATAGTGTTAGGTCACACAATAATAGCATTAGGCAAGTCAACAATCAACCAAAACTTTGACTAGGTTGCAATGCTTTTGGGTAAGCCTATCCATACCGAATATATATGGTGATTTGAGATGAAAAAAAGTCAATTTGTTTTCCAACCAATTCAATAGAGGAGCCTCAAGGAAACCACATTTTTCAAACAACAAATTTAATAAGTGGTTATTATAGTCACAAATTTAATTATTGGTAACACTTTATCGATCGAGTTTATCGTACAATGTCTTTTTAGTATGGTTTATGATTTACCTCTAATGTGTCGTATGTAAACTCAAGAACGAGCTTTACCATGTACATACCTTTGGATAGTATGTAATTGTAGTTTTCCTCAACAAAAACAAAAACAACAACAACAACAACAACAACAACAACAACAACAACAACAATAATAATAATAATAATAATAATAATAATAATAATAATGTTTTTCCCGCTTTGACGAACTATATCCTTGACCCATGAGGCCATGACTTCAGCCCAATACCATAAAGAGATAAATCGAACCAATCTAGCTACCTAGATCACCATGTCATGAAAAGCAAGTCTTAAATGATGTTTATCATCTACTAGACAATTGCAAAGATGTTAGAATTATTTTTTTTTTTTGAAAAGAGGTTAGAATTGTTATTTCATCATCATTTAATAATATCTCTTACATGGGTTATAACTTATAAGAAATTTTGCATGATCATTACATAATGAATTTTGTATTCTACAAACTATAAGAACAATGTAATATAATGTTTAAAGAACCATAAAAAAAAAGGAAAATAAAAAATTAACACTTTATCGAGTTATCGCACAATATCTTCACAGTGTAATTTATAAATAAATTATTAAATAAGAATAAATTTTAGCTCATATACACTCTCAATTCTTCAAATAATACCCCTTCGAGATTGTATTGCCATCCGATAAAAACAAAAAAACAAAAAAAAAAATTCAAAATATAGCCATTCCAGCTGGAAGTCTGTGCTTTCTCCTTCATTATGTTTCAATAGTCAGCCGTTGAATACTTTATTTCATAAAGTATAAATAACGAATAAAGAGATAAAATGACTTCAACGTATTTTCCAGTTGCATAGAAAAAATAAATAACATTTTTTAATCTTTCAATTATCGATTTAATTTTTTATTATTATATAGATCATAAATCATAGATATTGTCTTTTGATTTATGAAAATATTCACAATCATATCGTTATCTGACAACACACTCTAGATGAAGACTATAGGCGGTAAAAAATCACAATGAAATAATCTGAGAATACCAGTAAACAGCTCTCACGAATAGTCAAATTAAGAACCTTGTGGCGTAAATATCATTTCTAACGATCATATCGTTGTGGAATTGATTGTATACTCAAATATCAAATTGTCTTCTTGACAAAATACGAAACTATCCAAATAAAATCAAGTCAATTTTATATAATTAAATATGTGTACAAAGTAAAGTATAAAAACATTATTATCAAATTGTTAACTAGATTTCATAATTCCAACAACATAATTCATTTTCATCCTAGGCCCAAAAGAGTCCAATGACAAAATTTGATAGGGTTTGGAAGCAACTTCTCTAAAGCCCTGTCATATAAGTTGATATAAACCACTACAAATAAAATAATTAAATAATTATTTGTTATATAATTAGATAAGGATACCCAAGCTTTCTTGTAACTAAAAAATACCCACAAAACATTCTATAAATATGAATAAACAGAATATTTACTTATGCATACACCTTATAAAATACCCATGAATTTTTATTTATTTATTTTATATCTATGACATTCGGTATTCCTACGGTTATTGTGAGACTAATCCTAATTATACTCGGAGTGTGCTCGTAAAATTTGACTTTTAGTCGTCCGACTTTATTACTTTATTAGTAAGGAAATAAATATATGTATCGTGATTACATGAGTGTATTTTATTACTTTTACAATTCTCGACTTTATTACTTTATTAGTAAGGAAATAGATATCTGTATCGTGATTACATGTGAGTATTTTATTACTTTTACAATTCTCGACTTTATTACTTTATTAGTAAGGAAATAGATATTTGTATCGTGATTACATGTGTATTTTATTATTTTTACAATTCTCGACTTTATTACTTTATTAGTAAGGAAATAGATATTTGTATCTAGATTACATGCGAGTATTTTATTACTTTTACAATTCTCGACTTTATATTACTTTATTAGTAAGGAAATAGATATTTGTATCGTGATTACATGTGAGTACTTTATTATATTTACAATTGTCGACTTTATTACTTTATTAGTAAGGAAATAGATATCTGTATCATATCGTGATTACATGTGAGTATTTTATTACTTTTACAATTCTATAGACTATCAATGACCTATCAGGATTAGGACAAACTTTTGGGGAGGCAATTGCAATTACAATAAATGTCTGTTAACATCTATACGCCTGGAGGCACCCCGTAAGTGGAAGAGAGCAGTAGAACACGACGGTAGAGAAATCCGCAAAGCAGATCGAACAAATCGGAGCTCCGACATCCTGTTGCCGCACTCCTCTCGCCGGCGTCTGTTTTGACCGGTAATGGACCTCAGGTAATATCAGATTTATCCCCATTTGCAGTTGTACTGCTTTAGAAGCCTTAACTCATTTCATCACTGAGTCGCCGGAGTCTCGGTTACTGAATCGACTCAGTCAGGCCTCCCGGTTGCCTCCTGTTTCCTGTTTTTGAGTAGTTAGGATGCTGCCTTTTGGTCCATTTGATTTTTTTTTTCTGTGTGTTTGTATGGATTTTCGAGTGTTTTTTTGTTGAGATTGTGCTGTTTTTGAGAAAATTTCCAGTGGATTGATCGTGTTTCTAAATAGATCCGTCGGTTGCAAGTGCAACCAGTATTTTAGTTTTGATTTCAACACCGGCATTTTCTGTTTTAGCGAATGAACGTTTATGTGTGACCGTGTTCAATTTGATTTACAGATATGATGTTTCTTAGAATTATTGGAAGTTTGAGAATGACTTGTGTGCTTTTAGAGTCAATAGAGTTTTGTTTATGAAAAATTAATTATCTGTTTCTAATGGTGACAGCAATACGTGGGAATGGCGTGGTGGGGATTTTAGTCTGGGAGATGATGCCAATATCGGTGAGGCTTGTTTCTTATACTTATTATTATATGAGTCACAGTTGAAGTTCTTTGATGTTAAATTCTTTTTGGTTTTGCAAAGCAGACATGCCTGATTACCTACTGAGCCAAGATGAAGATCTTTCCTTTCTGTTTGATGATGAGGGAGCTACTCCAGTCAAGTCCTATGGAGACTTGCCTTACCAGTTTAGCAGCTGTGGTATGATGATAATCCCTGCCCCCCCTTTTTACTATTTCATGGATAATAGTCACTGCTTTACTGGTATATGTATGTCAACTATCTCTATCTGTTGACTCAGCAACATATACACAAATATGTTTATGTGTTTTAATACACATGTATAGTGTTGATAATTGGTTTGGAGCATTGTGCAGTACATTATGTTGTTGCTGAAATTTTTGCAGGAAACAATGATAAGGAACCCTCCTCACAAGTAAAAAGGCGCCGAATGCTAGAGTTTGGATCAGAAGGTCTGGATTCACTGTGCAACGAGGAACCATCATCTGCATTGATGAACTCAAAGGTTGATTGTGTGGTACATTTTGAACTTGTCAAATTTACAATAATCTCTCAGCCAATTAGCCGTAATGATATCCTGCATTCATTTAATTCACCGTATTTGTCCAATGTATTAGTTTTGCTTTCATCACAATTCACAACACATTTCCTGATTGCTACAAAATACTAAGTATAATGAATATATATTTTTGAGTTTACTTGTGTTTTAAGCAATTTATTCTATGGGTCAACTGATTGCTCAGAAAGTGATTGTGAACATAAACACAATATCTAACTTAAGAAGCCTTCAATTTGAACTTTTCTCGTTCATGATTTTCTAAGGTGACTCAGGACATGTGCTTGAATTATTTCCAGATAGGAGCTAGTTCTCTCGATTCATTTAGTGTGTCAAGTAATGTGGCCTGACGTGTGCTTTTGTTGTGATCAGGAGGATGAAAATTTGAAGTCTGAAATATCCCAATGGGTTTCAGGATTTGCAGGTATGCTTTTTGTAAGTTTTTGTTTTATTAGAGATAACCAGATCCATGGAAAGTATTTGATATAGCTATTATAATGTTTACCAACAGACCTGCCTGCATCTGGTAATGAGAACCTGGATCAGTCACCTCCCTCACCTGAGAGATGGATTAGTGATTGCATTAATGATGTTGAGATGCAGTTCAGCCCTGAGAATCCGTATGTTTCTTGAAGTCTTTTATGTTTGAGATTAATCATCTTCTTTAGTAAAATAATATAATTTTGACTAGTAATTATACTGGAAACAGTGGTGTGTCTGCTGATGCAGCATCAGATGTTCAGCTTGATACTGCAGGTCTCATTCATATTCTTCTTCCTCTACTGTCAATCTTTTACCTTTGCTTGTCATTCTCGTCTTAATTTTTAAAATCAATTTGATGTTGCAGGATTTTGCAACAAAGCTCTTGGAAGTGGATCTAATGTTATACAACAGCATCATCCTGTTAAAACTCGTCGAAACATCATCATTAAAGGTAATTGCTTCCCAATCTCCCCCTAAATATATTGTACATGGTCTGACCCAACATTGTCTTAATATTTCTTAAAGAAAACTCAGTTACTTACACTATGGACTTAGACTCGCTTACTTAAATTCATGCGGTTTTCTAATTCACCAGGAAGAAAATCACATATGCAGTCTCCTAAGGTCACTTCTTCTGTCGTCTACCCATTTGATTTCGTTAAACCATGTGGTGTTCATGGAGATGTGACTCTAAATGACATAAACCAACGAATCAGCACCCCGCCATTACCCAAGAAGAATGAAAGCGCTTCAGTTTTGTATCCCACGTCTGCTTTTTCAGGAAAGCCTGTCGTGGGGAAGACTAAAATTCGAACAGAAGGTGGGAAAGGCAGCATCACTATCATGAGAACCAAAGGGTAGCAGCCAGCTCAGACTAGCATTTTGGAAATATTTTTGTTTTGATGGCACTCTGCTTAGTCTGCTATGCTGCTACATTTTGGACAGGGTTTAATTCTACTTTCAGAGTGCCACCTAGTATACAAGCTAACTTTCAGGTTGATGTCATTCCTGGTGCTTGTACCATGAATTGTTTATATCCTCATCTTGGTGACAGACTGACAGGTGAATCTTGTTTAGAGCTGGTAATGTTGATTTTAGTAGAGCTAGGATCTTAGACTGGGCAACTCTTACCATTTCTTGTCTGTAATCTGTATAAAACCTTCAATACTATACTCCTAAATTTATTTATGTGAAAAGCCTCGTTTTTATTTATTTTATTATTGTTTCTTTATACTTCCTAACACCCCATCAGGAGCCGTTATCCTGTGCATCCGTGTGCACCATACATGGTGCATACGGATGCAAAAACGTGCAAAAATGACGTCGTTTTGACGTCGACTTAAAATAAAATAAATCAGAATTGCATAACTATACATTCATAATTTAATAACTATACATCCAGAATTGCATAACTACACATTCATAATTTCATAACCATAAATCCAGAATTGCATAACTTTATAATTATACATCCAAAATTGCATAACTACACATCTATAATTTCATAACTATAAATCCAAAATTGCATAACTATACATTCATAATTTCATAACTATACAATCAGAAATTATGCACAACATAATGTTGTTAACAGAAATCGAAATTGATTTTTTTTTTTTTTTTTTTTTAAAGTTGGACGCGTGTTTTTAGTCAAGACGACGTCGTTTTTGCATCCGTGTGCACCATCCATGGTGCACACGGATGCACAACATAATTTGCCCCCATCAGAGCTCTGCCTCCCAAACAACCCAACAGGCTCAATTGTGACTCCGTTGGATTAGACTCAATTGAGACCCGGTTGGATTAGTCCCAAAGTGGTATTTTATATTATCCATATTATGTAAAGGAAACACTATGAGGTGATGAATTAGTATAAGAGCATCCTCAACAGTAGTTTTTGCAGGTGTGATTAGGAAATAGAAGATGAGAGGGAAGAGAAAAAACAAAAAAAGAAGCAAACATGCAGCACCACCTTTTTAGACAAAAAACTCATTCTCCTGCGAGCACCCCACAAAAAACTATTGGTGGAGATGCTCTAAATCAATAGTTATTATCATGTCAGACATTCTAAGAAAAACACCATATTGTAATTCTTGTTTATTACACAAAACATAAAGGTTGCAAATTTTATTTTTACTATCACATTCTCAATCAAACCTATCACATAGGATTGATTTACTTCTATTAGACACAATTATTATTCCATGGATACACAACTTTGTGGACCATGAATAAAATATACGGAGTACATTTTAATATACTAAATGTATATTCTTCTTATATTAAATGTGCATTATTTGAATATTGAAGGTATATATTGTTTTGTATATTATTAAACAATGTAAATTGAGTATATAAATAATGTACATTTAGTATATTAAAATTATATATGATCCACAAAAAATGTGCACTGTTTATATATGAGCGGGCTTACTCAGTACACACACGTTATGTGAATAATATAATTAATAATTAATTAATGGACTAAAAATATTAAAATACGGAGTATTTAAGGTGAGAATGGAAATCTTCTTTATAATTACGACAAAGTAGAAGGGAGCCTATTGCAATTTCCATATATACTATGATTACTATCTACGGCGTATCGAACTGTCGATTAGAAACCCTAGATTCGCCCAAATCCACATCAATCAGGAGCACGAGACAGTCCCCGTCAGAGGAGCTCGAACAAATCTAATAATTCTGCTTCGACACCAACCGAATCTCAGGTATTTTATCCAGATCCTCTACACTTCTACGTTTAGGAATCCCAACTCGTTGAACCGACGTGAGGGAATCGAACAACGTCAGCTCAGTCACGCCATTGTTCTCTCTTTAGCTCAACTTCTAGGGTGGCTGCAAATGCTGTGCTGATTATTTCGAGAGAAGTTACAGTTTCTCCATTTGTGTGCGTTCGTCACTTTTTTTTTCTTAATTTGCTGCGTGCTTTTGCATTGTCGGCTCAATTTTGGTCTGTTCTTCAATATTCACAAATAAAGCTCGAATCTTTTGTGATGTTTTGATTTTTTATGGAATGTATAAAGAGCTTTTCTATTTTAAGGGTTTCCTCACAGATTTTTTTCATTCTAAATCGAGGGTTGAAAGTGACTCTTCACCAGTATTTTGCAAAATTCTAGATTTTTGAGCATTACTCTGATGCATAGTGTTCTTTTCATCATTTGAGTATTTGAATGTATGAAAGAGTGCATTTTTAAAAATCTGTATTACAAAATTTGCTACTCTCTCTCTGTTGTTTTGTGCTTATGCTAGTGGGCTAGTCTATAAGGGTGAATTGGCTATGTGGATTCTGCTTCAGGTTGTACTTAAGTGAAGCATATTAAAGACCAATTTGTGGTATTCCACCCCTTTGAACTTCCTTTTTCTGGGTGTAGGGATGGGGAGGGGTGCTGCTAAGCCACTTCCGTCCTACAAATGTTGGGTTTTAAGTTTTTCACAAGACTTTTCCTAGTTGTAAGTTGTAACCTCTTGATATTTGAGGAGATAAGAGTTCTTCCATACTGTTGTGGTCTCTCAAGTGTTGAGTTCTATGTTTTATCACATGACTCTCCCAAGTTTAACATCTTCAATTTTGAGGAGAATAGGAGTTCTTAAATACTTTTGTATGATATTCATGGATAATATAATTATTGCACTTCTAATTACACATCAACATTAATTAAAATGTTTATTAGTAGTATTATTTTATTCTTATACGGACATTTTTCTAGTTTACACGAAATCTGCACAAGGCGGATGCATTTGTACATGGAAATCTTACTTCATATCATGACACAGATGCTTTGTTTATGATAGATTTCGAGCGCATGGACAAAAATGAGCTTTGGAATCATACATAGTGATATGTGTGCGGGGAGTGGGAGAATTCAGGGTGGAGTTTTGGGTATTTATATATACTGAGAGGTGTTGCACACACTCAGAAGAGCTTGCATCTGCAAAAAAAAATTAGGCAGCATGAGGAAACCAAATTTTAATTCAAATATTTTTTAGCTTTGGAGCTCATGAGCATGGAGCTTGTGGAGCGCCGCTCAACTCAAGGATTGCTCTTTCAGTTTGCTCTGGAGTCATACATAGGGATGTGTTTTTGGGGAGGGGGAGTTCAGGGTGGTGTTATGGGTATAAATATCTACTGGCATGTTCACACACTCAGAAGAGCTTTTCATCTGTAAAAATATTAGGCAGGATGAGGAAACCAAATTTTAATTCAAATGTTTTAGCTTTGGAGCATATGAGCATGGAGCTTGTGGAGCGCTGCTCAACTCAAGGATTGCTCTTTCGGTTTGCTTTAGAGTTTTTCAGAATTTGCTTTGAACTGATATTATCAAGCCAAATACAAAATGATAAAATTGATTGTACAAATATATTAGTTTTTTTCTCAAGAGTTCTTACTTTAAGATGTTAATTTGTTTTATGATTTAATTTCTATATTCAGTGCTGCTGCGAACACAATTACCGATTTCCCCCCATAGTCAACGATGAGTGGTCGATTTTCTCGCACAATCTATGTGGGAAACCTTCCTGCAGATATCAAAGAACGGGAAGTTGAAGATTTGTTCTATAAGGTTATAGTTAACACTTGTTTGAGCTGTTCAAATCTATAACTGCATACATGGAAAAGAAATTAATGACACTAGCTGTTTCTATTTTAGTTATTGTTCTGCTTTTTTCCCACAATGAAACTTCTTGTTCCATCTTGATTCTTTGTTGTGCCTTGTTTCTTGAAGCTTAAAGTGGCATTTGCTTATTGTTTATTTACCTTATTTCATGCTAGTATGGGCGTATTCTGGATATTGAATTGAAGATTCCCCCTCGCCCACCATGCTATTGTTTTGTTGAGGTAATAGGTGCTTCTTTTATGCTCATTATAAGTAATGATTTTTTATGCATATATTTAGTTCTTTTATCTGTGTGCCTGCCTTTCATTTAGATTATTTGTTGGGGTTTGACTTTTGAATCCATGATTTGACTTTGACTTTCAACTTCTTCAGTTTGAGAATGCTCTAGATGCAGAAGATGCTATCAGGGGCCGAGATGGCTACAACTTTGATGGCTGTCGATTGAGGGTAAGAACACTTGGGTACTTTCTGTTAAGAATTGCACAATACGTTGGCAATGCATACATCTTGCTCTTTATATTGGGACTGATTTTTTATGCAATAAAACATAGGTTGAGCTTGCTCATGGTGGTAGAGGTCCACCATCTTCAAGTGATCGTCGTGGTGGTGGCTATGGTGGTGGTGGAGGTGGAGGTGGTGGAGGTGGAGGGCGTCATGGCGTTTCTCGTCATTCTGAGTATCGGGGTAATAATTTGACTTTCTGAATGACACTTTTAGAGGTTTACCTTTAATTGAATGCTACATGTGTATGTGTATTTGTATCTATACTCTGTAAATGGTAATACACATTATATATGCTCAACAAATTATCTTTGCTTCATGCAGTTATTGTGCGTGGTCTTCCAGATTCTGCTTCCTGGCAAGATTTGAAAGTAATGAAAAAAATGATGCCTGAGATTTTGTTTTTTTAAGGTTTGCTTAATTGCGTATTTGATATGTCAGTGACATGTTCAAATGTTCCAGGACCACATGCGAAAAGCTGGTGATGTGTGCTTTGCTGAAGTTGCCAATGACAGTGAAGGTATAAATGTATAGTTTGACTATTATTGCACAATGGATCTGCTTATATGCTATATCTTCTCACCACTAGTTCATACTATTTTAACGAAACACAAACTAAGCTACATTTAATCATTAACTGCTTCATTAACATATGATTGTAAGGTGTAAATGAGCTGATCCTGGTGCCCTGGCATGATTGAGCTTGGCTTGTTTATTAATCAAGCCAGGCTTGACTCGGCTTGTTTATTAATCAGTCTAAAAGTCGTATTTTAGCTTGGGTATGCAAATTGAGTGAAGAATTTTAGGTTTATTTTGGGCTTGGTTTGCTTTTCTTTGCTCACATTAAACTCTAACTCTGTAATTAGGAACCTTTGGCCTGGTTGATTATACAAATTATGAGGATATGAAATATGCTGTAAGTAAATTCTTCAATAGTTTACTGATAATTATGTGCAATATATTCATATTCTGAATCTCTACTTAATTATTGAATGTGCTGTTTTCCAGATTCGGAAACTTGATGATAGTGAGTTCAAAAATCCTTGGACCAGGACTTATATCCGGGTATTTATATTTAAAGATACTATGAAAATTTGACCAGTTTGCTTCACATTTGTTTATTTATTTGTTTGTATTTTTCTTGTTAGGTGAGAGAACACAAGCATGGTTCATCAAGAAGCCGAAGCCGAAGCCGAAGCAGAAGCAGGAGTCCTAGGAGGAGGAGGAGGTATATGAATCTCTGATTTTATATTTCTTGGTGTTTTTTTTCTTTCTTCCTGATCTAACGGTAAACTATACTGCAGCAAATCAGCAGACAGATCTAGGTCAAGATCACCACCTCCACGGTCAAGATCTGCATCACCGATCAAGTCATCACGGTATATGGAATGGTTTTTGTTGATTAGTAGTCACTGCCCTTTTATAAATCCAATCCCTTACTAATCTCTTGGGTATTATCTGCTTAAATGCAGACCTATTTCTAGGTCAAGATCAGGATCAAGGCCAAGATCAGGGTCAGCATCTCCCCATCAGGTAAGACTCAATGCAACATTTTTATACACACAATTTTCAAGCTCTGGAATTAATTTTTCCTCGTAAATATTGCAATTTACCCACTGCGACTTATTTTATTGTCTGCATGACCTGGCAGCCACTAGCTGATCCTCAATTCATTTAGTCATTTTCTTCATGTCATTTCAGGCCCGCGCCAACAGTGGCTAACTCTGTCAATTACAAGTCAATCTACCTCTAGGCTGCTTCGGTGTGGGAAGGACTGCAAACCTCCCATACTCGGTTTGTCTAGGGCTGAAATCATAAACTAGTTCTTTATTATTCGTTTAAAGCAAAACTCCATAAACCGGCTATTTCTAGATCCTTTCTGTCAACTGTATGCAGGTGAACTTTTTTAGTACCTGTTTGTTTGTTCCGCAATCCTTGTTGTTTACTGTGCTGTTGTCATGTTTTGACTGAGTGTTATTACCATTTTCACTTGTTTTGTTTAAAGAATACACCTTGAGAACAAAAATCTTGTTTGAACTAGCGTTCTGATTTAGGGTAGGGTAGTTGGTAAGCGGGCTTACTAACTACTAATGTACTCGACAGCTCTTGTATGTGCGATGGCAGTGGTAAGTGTATCCGATGTTATATGTGAAAATGAAACCATTGCTACCTCCATTAGAAGCTCTTGAAGGTTTTGTGGATACAATTCTTTCATGGTGGGTCCTACGTGATCTGAGGTAAAATTTTGTATGGTTAGAATTTCTTGGGCTGCCTGTATGAAAAAGACAAGCAAGTAGTGCTCAACTGTTTTGTCAAGTTGCGTGTGACATTTCCCTGTGTAAGGAACTGAAGAAGAATGTCTGTTGGTATTATTCCAAATCCGTATTCTTCTTTTTTCTGTTGGATGACGAGGGAAATTTGTCGATACAAATTATACTGAAAAGGTAAATTGTATTAGAAAAATCTTAAGCGACAGACTCAATTGATGCAGTTGTCGAGGTTTGAATATTCGTATCTTTTCTCAAGTACTACATATTGAATCAATATGCTAAATTTGTGCGGGCAAATTCTTGCGCTAAACTTGTCCGGGCAAATTTCTTCATCGGCATTTGTCCTTGTCTGTTGAGTTATTGAATTATCGTGATTTACGTCATTCTAAATGCTTTGTTAGGTTAGGGTGTGGAGGATTTAATCATTTTGGGGAATGAAGGGTATTGACAAATTCTTATTCTTGGATACCTTGCAACGAATGAAGATGGATGTGTTTCAAATAATTTTTCACATCAATTTTCTTTTTTTGGTTAATTATTAACTTTGTTACAAAATTGATCATAGTGAATATATACAATTTATGTTTATTAGTAATATATCCGATCCTTTATTTTTTAATACATAACTCAATTGCAAAAGAAATAATCTTAACATTTTTTTTTGGTGAAAAGACACTTATCTTAACATTTGTTACTCATTTATAACTTGAAATCTTCTTTGAGTAGATCTAAACTTCTCCTAATAAAAGGAAAAAAAGGTATAACTACGAGAGAGTTAAATATTCAATCGAAATAAATTAAATAGTGAGATTGCATTTTGAACTAGAATTAGTGTAATTATGTTTCTTAGCAAGTTAGCAACAAGCTAATGTTTTTTATTAATTTGGACTAAGAGATGTGGACAAAGACATCTAAAAATAAGAAGATCTAGACAAAGACTCCATAGATGTCCTCGTCAAGAGAATTGGAAATTTGGACAAGGACACCATGCACTCATGGAGGTCCTTGGACAAGGAAAAAGTGTGTTTTCACAGGACAAAAAACTTATTATTTAGAATGACCCCTCTAACAATTTTTTTTGAGTAATCGGAACGCCCCAATATGACATGCACCATCCAACGTCTATAACCTCTTCCTATGTTGTGGTCAACCTTAATGACTGACCTCGAGATATCATGACTGATCATGGGACCGAGAATTGACATTACCTTTATTTCCTTGGACGACTCACTATGAGTTTTCTAGGTACATCTTTTGAGTTCATGCCTAGCGGACCCGAACTCTCATTGCGGCCGACTCCAAGGTTAGGCCTCAGTCTCCATGTTTTGCCTTGGGCCTATGCCACACTGCTTGAGTTTAAAATCTCAGAGCTGAATCTAATATCATATTATTCTTTTAAAGTAAAATATATTAATCAAGCAGTGCAAAAACAAAATTAGGGGACACTGTCTCCCAAAACAAAGCATGTGCTTATATAAAGGTTGTTATGCTAACGAATGTGCTAAACGATTGGACATACAAGAAACAAAAGAATACAAACTCCCTACAATCAGAAGAAACAGCTGCCCATACTCGGCTGGGATGTTCATTATCATATAATGTTTCAAGAAAAGAAAAAACTCTATTTATTAGCTAAAGTTAATTAACATCGCTTGACAAATATTATTATAAAAAAATCCAGATAATAATTGAATATGAAACAATACCAAATAGAGTAGGACTGAAGAAAAAGTTGAAGGCGTACGGATAGCAGTATTACCGGTAATGTAGTTAGACAGGGAAGAGTACAGATGTTTGCGTGGGAAGAGTACAGATGTTTGCGGTGTTTAATGTTGTCATCAATTCTGTTTGTTTTCTGTTGATCAAGTTTGTGAGATACAGTTACCTGCCAACCCGCGTCTCTCTCAGATCCCCTTCTCCCTCCACTCAAAACCCTACATTTTTTCTTGTGCCTTCTACTCCACAAAGACGCCAACAACATTCTTGATTCTCTCTCTAGTTTGTGGATTTCATCGAAAGTTGTAAAATAATAATAAAAAAAGAATAAAGTTAGTTAATTTAATTTAATTTAGTTGTTTTTTTTTTTTTTTTTCGGGTGAATTTGCTTTGACTCTTCTCAAAACGTCACCGCACAATGTTGGTCAAACATTTCGCCTCTTTCTCTCTCTCCCCCTTCTCTCTCTCATCCCGAGTGTTTTTATGGACCAATTCTTGATTTCCCACAAATGGTTTTCCCTTTTCTGCTCTGGGTATTCTTCCTTTTTCTTGATTAAGCTTTGTTTTTGACTTTTCACGAGGGGAAACAACGAAATAGAAAGGAAAAAGGAATGGTTTTTGGGGATGGTTTCTGGTCTATGCCCCTGTCTTTTTCTAAGGATTTACTTTTCTATTTGATGAATTTATAAAAAAGCATTTTTGGGGTGGGACTTGTAAGGGCATGATTGGTGATGCAAGTTTAGGGTCTTGAAGAGCCAAAAAGTCAAGTGCTTTAATTGATTTCCTCTGAATTGTTGTTTGTTTTTTTTTTTTTTTGTTTTGTTTTCAGGTCAGAACTGGGAAACAAGCCCGAGTCGGAATTGGGACTTCCTTTGTTTATTTCTCAGGTTTTTTGTTTTTGAAGATTTTCTGCACATTGAGAATCATTGAGATGACCTCTCTTTGATGATGATGATGATGATAAGTTCTTAGATCTTTTCTGATCAATTTGATAGAGTTCCAGCAAAAAGATTAGCTTGTTTTTCATTGATTTTATTTCTGTTTTGATCTTCTTAAAAAAATTCTTTAAAGATTGAACCTTTGTGGGGGTTGTTGGACTGATTTAATAAATATGGATTTGAGAACAAGTGTTGATGGTGGTGAGGTGCCCAAAGGGGACTATTCAGGGCATCCAGAAGGGGAATTAGGGTCTAAGTTGAAGGGGCCAGGGAGTATTAGTGATGGAAATATGGCAGGGAAGAGCCCTAGCAAAGATATGATTTTTAGGGCTGATAAGATTGATCTCAAAAGCTTGGATGTTCAATTGGAGAAGCATCTGAGTCGGGTTTGGTCTAGGAGTGTAGAACATCAAGTCCAGAGGCCCAAGGAGGACTGGGAGATTGATCCTTTGAAATTGGAGATTAGGTATCTTATTGCTCAAGGCACCTATGGCACGGTTTATCGCGGTACCTATGATACTCAAGATGTTGCAGGTATAACATGGTTCTCTGTTTTTCCGTTTCTTATTGCTGCATGGATAGAGTCATAGAGTAGCAGTCAATCTTGTTCGCTTCGTTTTATATAGCTGTGCTAATTCCCGGTTTATATTTTCTTTCCGCATTTCATTTTAACCTCGTTCTTGCGTTTACACTGTATATCTTGTATGCGTTGTAAAATTCCCGTATTTGTCTTACCCTTAGTGAAATAGAAGCTAACACGATGAAAAGACTAAGACTTTGTTTTGCAGATTTTGATGTTGACAAGGATTTGTGTTTTTTCTTGTTTTACTTATCCCCATAAAAGGGTGGATCATGTGGAAATCCTCACCCCCTAGACTGGTTAATGAAATATATTGCTTGGTGTTTTTTTATCTGAAATTGTTTAGGTTATCAATTAGGTATTATAGTCGGTGGAATAATTGAGTGTTCGGAACTTAAAAGCCAATTACCTCTGCATAATAGTTAGGTATCGAAGGTGGTGGCAATTATTTAGATGCTTCTAGGAGATATATAAAACTAGATGTCTAGATTATGGTAATAACGGGTTGGCTTTTCCTCCAAACCGCAGAAATAGTCTCCGTTTGGTGATATATTAGCCCTCGTTTCTCACTGGAATACTATTTTGTAGTGAAATTGTTGGACTGGGGAGAGGATGGCATGGCCACCGCTGCAGAAACTGCCGCTCTACGAGCATCATTTCAGCAGGAGGTTGCGGTTTGGCAGAAGCTTGACCACCCAAACGTTACAAGTGTAGGCACTTTCTTCGACACATTCCTTCTTAGAGACAACTGTTAATTACAAATACTCGAAGAATGATATGATACTTTGAAAAGTATGTTTTGATAGTGATTCTTACTTGCAGTTTGTTGGTGCATCAATGGGAACTTCAAATCTTAAAATTCCATCGAAAAACCCTTCTGAGGGTTATACCACCCTTCCATCAAGGTCGTGTTGTGTTGTGGTGGAATTCCTTGCGGGTGGAACCTTGAAAAATCTTTTGTACAAAAACCGGAAAAAGAAGCTGGCGTTTAAGATTGTTATTCAACTTGCTTTGGATCTTTCTCGAGGGTGAGCCGCCTCTAAAATACGGTGTGCAATTATTAAAATTATCGATTGGCGTGGCTTCATTTTTCTTTCTGACTTTGCAGGTTGAGCTATTTACATTCCAAAAAAATAGTTCATCGCGATGTGAAAGCTGAAAACATGTTGCTGGATACTAGTCGAAATTTGAAAATCGCTGATTTCGGTGTGGCTCGTGTTGAAGCACAGAATCCAAAGGACATGACGGGTGAAACTGGTACCCTTGGGTACATGGCCCCAGAGGTATATTCATCACTCAATCCAAAAGAACCTTTTCCTCGAGAAACATCCTTATAAAATATGTTTGTGCATGTTCTTTAACGCGATTCCAACTAATGATAATCATCTATCTTTAAGTTACCCGAAGTTAATAGTCATATCTCCTCTTTTAGGAGACCACCAGGACCCCGTATAATCTAAGTTTTCATCTTCTGCATTTCTCATAACGTTTTCTTGTTTTTCCGAGTAATGAAATATAGTCTGCATTTGCGTAGGTTCTTGATGGCAAGCCCTATAACAGAAAATGCGATGTATACAGCTTCGGGGTTTGCTTGTGGGAAATTTACTGCTGTGATTTGCCATATCCAGATCTGAGCTTTGCTGAAGTTTCTTCTGCGGTTGTTAGACAGGTATTTCTTGCTTATTTTCATCTCGTCTAACGCATTTTCTACTGCCTCATTTAGTGTATATCTGTTCCCATTGTGGCACGAAAAGATTGATGTTTCTATTCCCCTTATCCTCAGAATCTCCGCCCAGAAATTCCCAGATGTTGCCCGAGTTCCTTAGCCAGCATCATGAAGAAATGCTGGGATGCGAATCCAGACAAGCGACCTGAAATGGACGAAGTAGTGAGGTTGATGGAAGCGATTGATACGAGCAAGGGAGGAGGGATGATACCCGAAGACCAAGCTGGCGGCTGTTTCTGCTTTGCTCCAACTCGCGGTCCATAAGGCTTCTCCACACCCGCTCTCTTTTTGCCTTTCGTAAGGCGCTCGATTTGTACTCTCTGTACAAACTCATTTCCCTCTCAGACATCAAATAATTAGAGCAAAAAGTTCCAACTTCTCTTGTTCTTTGTCACAGTGTAACCATGGTTTGTTAATTTTCGAGATTTTCTTGCACAGTTCTGTACTATACCAGGTGCTCGATTTGTCGTATAATGCATTTTGATTCTTCCAATGTTTCATAAAATCTTTTGTTGTTTGGTATATATATATGATGATTCTCAAGTGGCCTTCAGTGATCCACTTTTCTTGGTGGATTCATTGGCATCCTGCATTCTCTTGTCTTGTACAGTATGATGACTCTGTTTTTTTGCTGCCCTCTCGAAGTTCGAGAGATTCTTGTCTGCAATGTGCTGTACTTCCAAATCTGCATTGCATATTTTTGGTCCGAAATAATTTCACCCGAAACCAACCTATCCAAATTAGAGTATTACTTATATTAAACTAACACCATTATGAATTAATAAAGAATTTACATAGCAGATCATAGGTAAGGACGCATGATTGAGCTTTTACAGTTATGATGTGTGACCTGAGTTTTACCCTCTTGTGGAGCTCTAATCCACAATCTTGTCATGTTAAGGTGTAAAGTGTAGGAACAATCTTTTTAGATCAAGGTGTATGGCTTAAACCCTTTAGGCACGTACATGTGCCCGCTTTGTCTAGTAATTGACCTGGTGACTAAGAATTATTAAATCGAAATCACTTAAGTCCAGTAATTGACCTGGTGACTAAAGAATTATTAGACCGAAATCTACAAGAAAAGTCCAATCTAACACCATTCCTCTAGTAAATACAATAATGATAATATAAGAAAACAAAAGTTACACATTACTATATATATATATATATATATATATATATATATATATATATATATATATATATATATATATATATATCTTTTGGTGTAGTTCAAGAACAGCCACCGGAGGCAAACCCCAGTTTCCCTCCGGCAACATCGTACACCACCTCCAATGTCTGCTGCTGTAAGTTGCCGAAAATTCCGACCTCCCCATCATCATTATTTCCGAAAAAAGCCAGACACACCAACGACCCGGTTTCATCTAGCGGCGTCATCACCCCCGTGGGGTCCAAATCAACCACCGCATTATTCCCACCAAACGTGAAGCTTATCTTGGGTATGGTTGGGTTACGATATTTGCTGAAATCATAGCAAGTGTCGAAGCTCGTATTGCTTTCTACTGCCGGAAACATGGTCATCTGTTCCCTGAAAGCGTCCCGCAGAGCAGTATAGGCCGTCGGCGGCAGGCGAGTGGTGACGGTCCCGGAGTCTATGATGGTCTTGCCGTTCTTGAACACCGCCGGATTAATTTTCAGTTCCCGCCCGGCAACGCTTATGGCCAGGATATCAATGAAGTAAAGACCCGTCCCCTGTGAGCTCAACAATGGCGTGTATTTGAAATTTTTAGCAGTCCCACCACCCTTCCCCAACGTTAAATGACCGTCGGTGTTTGTTTTTGTCGGGAGGCAATACGAGAAATAGTTCCCATATTGTTTAGACGTTTGGGAGACTATAGAGAGGGAATCTCTCCCTAAACCCATCAATCCCGCATTCTCGCCGTAGAAAAGTTGATTGTTTTGGCCGCACCCGAACATGAACCCCTCCACCGCTTCCGTGGACGATAAGGTTAGCCTGTCCTTCCCCAACTCGCCCACCGAGAATGTTCTGTCGCCGTAAGTGGCGATGTACACGCACGTGTTCGGCGCTGCGCAGCGCGGCGGGTTGTTGGTGGCGGCCGCCAGCCCGGAACAGGCGGCCGAGTTACACGTGAGGTTGGAATACGTTGTCGAGGCGGCCGGGTCGAATATCGCCGCGCGCTGCCGGTAGCACTTCGCCGCGCACGGCTTGCATTGAGTCCACGTGATATGGCTGCCGGTGTCGAAGGCTAGATCGAGTTCCTTCTTCGGCGTGCCCAGTCCCACCGTGACGACGTAGTTTCCCACGCCGCCTGGGCTTTCGTGCCCCGCCGGGAGATTCACAGCTTTTGACTCACTGATCATTTCTGCTTTCTCTGCCTCACCATTAGTGTTATTGCCCAAGCTCAGAGATTTAACTCGGGCTTTTATTGAGTTGACTCGAGACTCGTCGTACCGCAGAAGCTCAGTCATGGTTGGCGAGTCTTGGGTCCGGGCGGAGCAGGGACCAAACCTGTGAACAACTTTCATGGATGCCTTTCTACTTGGACCTGAAATATACATTTAAAAAACAAAAAAATTAATTTTTTTTTTGGGTCTAATTTTCAAGTTCAGATTTCAAAACGGTTAAGTGTAGGTACATAATTTTTTTATAGGCTCAGAGTTATCAGGTCAGTTTATAATTTTCGTGCTAAGATTGACATCCTATTCTCAGGACACTACTTGTACTACTGGAAATTATTCCGACTGTGATATCTGAAAAAATCTTGTTGCTATTTTCGATCACTTTTTGATATCAATTTGAATTAAGATAACTTTTAGGTGGTCGAAAATTTCACAATTTCCAGTAGTGCTGTGAGATATATTAAAGTAAATAGAAAGTAGAAAGAGCTAATAATGAACGAATGGATGACCTTTGGAAGTGGTGGGATTGCAGACAAAAGGTGGAAGCATGGAACTGAGTGGGAGAGTTTGGTAGTGAGCTTCAGAAGCAATCCCCTTCTCCAAACTGCATGAAATCATCATCATCATCATCATAACCAGAATGGAAACATTTGCAGATGATTGAAGAAGACTTAGTTTTCCAGCACAACCCATTCTTGAATGTTTCAACCACCTCTCTCTCACCCTGCTATCTCAAGTATGTATATATATATATATATATATATATATATATATATATATATATATATATATATATATATATAAAACTAGGGAGAACAAGTTTATACTATAGACGTGACAACTGACAAGTAATGACATATTATCTTCATCATATGTGAATTTGAAGAAAAATATCTATGGACATAAAAAAATTGAGTGAGGGAATAGAAATCGGCTGAGGTCAAATTAGTATTTTCTTAAATAAAGTATTGTGCAAATGCCCTGTTTGCCTGTTTACATGGGAAATATAATTATATTTCTTGTATTGTATCCAAGAATACAAAATTGTTGTTGATGAGATCAAAACTCATGAAAGCAAAGTTGTTGGTCTAGGAGTGATGGGACCATGAATGATAGGTTTGATGAAAAATAATTAAATGTACGAGAAATTGCCTTTTATTTTGAAAAAAAATGATAGGTTTGATCAAAACCCATGAAAGCAAAGTTGTGGCCAAGGTCATAGCTCTCATTCCAGATCTAAAAGACAGCCTTTGTCAGTCATGGTCATCTTCCCGAAGATGGTTGTGGCTGTCTTGCCGGACAGTCGAGGGCTATTTTTGTTTGTTTTTTTGGTAACGAGTCTATTTAGATTTAATTAAACAATTTTATCGGTTTAAGGGACTTAAATGAAGGATTTTTTTTTTATACGGGAAAAAGATACTCTAAAAGGAAAACATAAATAAATAAATAATTTGGGTGTAACAATCCCTACCTATTCGTAGTCAACTAGGGGTGTGCATAATTCGGTAAAAAATTAGTTAATCGACCGAATCAATAAATTTTGATTAATAATTTTTTAATCAAAATATTTTGATTTGGTTAATGGTTAATTTTTTTTAAAAATTTCGATTAACGGTTAATTCAGTTCGAATATATCGGTTAATCGAATTACATGTGTATATATATGTTTTTATTTTTATTTTATAATTCATAATGTAATGACTCTTTTGTGGTATGAAATTATGACTTTGAAAATTTTATTTATACATTTTAAGATTTTTTAAAATTGGACTAAACTATTTCGATTCACCGATTAACCGACTGGCCGGATTTTATTTTATTTTAATTTTGATTTAGTTAATTCAGAAATAGAAATTTCGGTTCAGCTAACAATTAATGTATTTTACAAATTCAGTTAGTTCAGTTCGGTTATTAACCGAATGAACACTCCTATAGTCAGCCATGGTTGAAGTCTCTCCGAGTGCTTATAAAAAATTTGTAAACTAACCAAGTAGTATCAAATGAGTATAGGTTAAAGTCAATTATCAATTGGCAAAACTAAATTTGTAAACTAACCAAGTAGTATCAAAGGAGTATAGGTTAAAGTCAATTATCAATTGGCAAAACTAAATTTGTATACTAACCAAGTAGTATCAAAGGAGTATAGGTTAAAGTCAATTATGAATTGGCAAAATTATACTATTTCATTCTTTATGAATGTGCCGACCGAAGCAAACTCTATCTTTGCAAAGCATGGCCCATGCATATAGCTTTCAATAAAAAATAAATAAATAAAAATTACTTATCACATATAGTTTACAAATTATTACATAAGAGCGGAGCTTATTTAATATATATGCATGCACTATAATTTTGTGAGAATTATTGGAACTTATTCGAGACCCTACTTGAGTAATCCTTGCTCTTATTTAATATATATGCATGCACTATAATTTTGTGAGAATTATTGGAACTTATTCGAGACCCTACTTGAGTAATCCTTTTCAAAACAGCTACCTACACACTCTTCAATCAATGTTTAATATGACATGAAATTTCTTGGTATTAGTTGGCCGGCAGTACATGATTTTTATGGGAGTTTTCTTATCCTTAATGTTAGACTTCCTCCCTAATCTACGTGGAAAATTTTAACACAAGCACAACAACAATCGTCAAGCAAAAATATAATGTAACTAACCATTTTGCAAATGGAACAACCACTTCACAAATAACAACATTAATTAGAGAACATACATAACTTTTAGTTTATTTTTTCTCCTAAAATCAACAATTCTTTTTATAAAATTAATTTACTTAAATTCTTTTGAAAAGAAACGTTTTCAAAATGCGACTGATAGCTTGGGAAAGAAGTGGTGAGATTACGGGTGAGAATGTCGTTCCTTAAGAGATTGGATCTATGACACGTACTTGTATATTAACTAAGGTTACATTCTAGGCACTAAAGTGTTACAACCCACAAGAACCCAAGTAAATCATATTCATGGTGAGCAAATATCAACATCAACAATAGAATAAAAGTCTAGCACAAGTTAACACTATTAAAACATAAGAAAACTCAATAGTAGTTTGTCAAAAAAAAAAAAAGAAAAAAGAAAAAGAAAACTCAATAGTAAATTAAAGGATATGGCTCAAGTTAGGGGATATCACCTTTTAGATGCCTTAATAACCCAAGGGGTTAGTGTTAAGTGCATAATTGTTCATATTTATACCCCATATATACCTCATATTTAGCCTTATTTTACAAATGAAGTGTTATAATGGTGTTCAAAATGATCCTTATTTTATTCATTTGATCAATTAGGCACAATTCATCATCTTTGAGTAGAAGTGAAGGATTTTAGAACATTTTGGATGCCTTTGGAGACAATGGGAACCAAGGTGAAGCTAAGAGAACAGATAAAATACTTCCAAGTGAGTCAAAGAATGGTATTTTCAATGGTCTTGATCACAAGGACAAACCAAGACAGAATAGAACAAAAGAGCAATAAGTTGAAATTCTTGAATATATAATTGACTACTGTTCAGTATTTGGACCATATTGACCTAGAAATGCCCAAAATTAAGTGATTTTTATGTCATTGGAAAGAAGACTCAAATAGATACAACTCTCATGAAGACCTTAAACACTAAAAAGGGAGTCACAGGGTTCAAAATCGTCTTTGAAGTTGAAGTTCCAAACTTACAGATTTCGCTGGCCCAAAACTGACCTATGTTTGGTATTTTGATCAGTACAGTTCCAATCACCAGAAAAGCTCAGCTCAAGAACACCCACCGGGAGCAAACCCCAGCCGCCCTCCGGCGACATCATAAACCACATCAAATGTCTGCTGCTGATAGTTTCCCAAAACTCCGGCTTCGTTATCATTCTTATTTCCAAGAAACGCCAGACAGACTTCTGCTGCATCATCTTGAGCAATCATGACCCCTCTAGGATCCAAATCAACCACCAAATCGCCACCAAACTCGAAGCTTATCGTGGGTATAACTGGGTTAGGATAGTCGGTGAAGTTATAACAAGGGTCATAGTCCCAGCTGCTTGGTACCATGGGGTACATTGTCATCTGCTTCTTGAAAGCATCGCGCAGAGCGTTGTAGGCTTCCATGGGGAGATATGTTAGGGTGGTGCCGGAGTCTATGATCATCCCGGGGTCCCGGAATACCGCCGGAGAGATCGGCAGTTTCTGTCTGTTAATACTTATGGACAAGATCTCAATGTAGTAGAACCCGAGTTTATCTGATGATTTCAAGAATGGTGTGTAGTTGAGATTATTTGGGGTTTTATTGTTCTTTCCGAACGTTAAATGTCCGCCGGATCCTGTCGGGGTGGGGAGACAGTAGGAGAAGTAGCTTCCGAATTTTTGAGATGTTTGGGAGACTATAGAGAGAGGAGCGGTCCCTAATCCCAATACTCCGGCGCTGTCGCCGCCGCCGACTAAGCTGTTGTTATGGCCGCAGCCGAATACGAAGCCGTCGACGACATGCGTGGAGGTTAAGGTTAGCTTGTCGGTGGCCAGCTCGCCTCTGGAGAATGATTCGTCGAAGTACGAGGTGGTGTAGTGACACACGGCGGAATCCTCGCATTGGCTGGGGTAATACGTGGTGGCCTCCAGGTCGGAGCAGGCTTGGGAGGCGCATTTTACGTTGGAATAGGTTGTTGAAGCGGCGGGGTCGAAGATTGGGAGGCTCTGGTTGTAGCACGCCGCCGCGCACGGCTGGCATTGAGTCCACGTGAAGTCGCTGCCGGTGTCGAGCTCTAGCTCCACGTCTTTCGCCGGCGTCCCAAGTCCCACGGTTACGAAGAAGTTTCCACTTTCACTCACCGCCGGGAGATGTACAGTTTCCGACGACTCCCCTATCAAGCTGAAAGATCTATGTCGTCGGGCTTGTAATGATTGGACTCGAGACCGGTCGCGCAGCAGAATCTCCGTCATGGTTGCCGAGTTTTGGGCCCGGGCTGAGCAGGGACCAAACTTGTGAACAACCTTCATGGATACCTTTCTATCTGGACCTGAATCACCTTTGGAAGTGGTTTGGTCGCAGTCAAAGGGTGGAAGCATGGAGCTGAGTGGAAGAGTTTGGTATTGATGATGATGAGCTTCTAAGTCGCCAACTAATCTTCTAGAAGCATTCCCCTTCTCCAAACTGCATGAAATCATGATAACCAGAAGGAAAACATTTGCAGAGAATGATTGAAGAAGAAGCTTCAACATCCTGCTATCTGCACTGCTTAATTTTCCAGGACGATTACACATTCTTGACCCTCTCTCCCTCTATCTCGATCAAGTATTCTCGGGGTAGTAAGGCCTTGCCAACACAACTGGTAAAATAAGGAGTATATAGGAAATCAGAAAAATATGGAGAGAATATATGTATTGTATTGCTCAAATTGCTTAATGGTGAAAGTTGCTTCCCCTTTCCTATGTGTGGGGTCTATTTATACATCTTTTAGTCCTTGAGTAGAATAAGAATCCTATACTACTTTATATTGGGAGTCTTTGTGTTGAGTTTGTCTCATATAGGATTAGGAATATAAATTTGTCTCATATAGGATTAGGAATATAAATTTGTCTCATACTAGGAATAGGAGTGAAACGGGTAGCTAGACCCGTTGTATAGGGATTAGATGCTTATAAATATATTGGTTGTATCCCTAAGGGGTCGTGAAACCACTATCACCATCACTATGAATAAAAGAATAGTTTTACTCCCGTGAATGTGCACATTGCCGAACCACGTAGACGCATTACCGAACCACGTAAATCTTGTTTTCTTTACCCTTTCTGCCATTGTTATTGTTTCTTGTTCTTGTTAATCTCAACACTTTGTTACATTTGAAATAATAAACCTTGGTCCTATTACATTAGGAATAATTAGCCCAATTCCTATTACATTATGAATAATAAGTTCAATACAAAAGTTACTTTGTACTGTGTATCTTTTCTGGACTTCCTTAATCCAATTACTTTTTAAGTCGATTCACATGCAATGTGACCCAGGCCCAATATACCATCCATCAAGTATGATGTGCATGCATGGTTAATCTGTATCTATATATAGGACCCGTAGGCTTGAAATCGGAGTCAATAATTAATGAAGATTATAATGAGTTCTATAAAGCTTTTATTATATGCAAGTAGAGAAATTAATCATTATAGGAACAATTTGCATATATGCCTGGAAAAATGTGAAAAACATCCCCTTAGAGCATTCACATTGGTTGGGGAGAATGTGGGGATAATGTAAGAGTGATTAGAAAGAGAATGTGGGAGGGGAGAGAAAAAAAAAAAAACAAAACAAAAAAAAAAAAAAAAAAAAAAAAAAGTAATCAGAGACGCGTCTGGCGCGTGCAGTGCACGCGCCCGGCTTTTGCCCAGGCTGTGCGCGCTTACTTCTTCTTCTTCTTCTTCTTTTTTTTTTTTTTTTTTTTTTTTTAAATTTTCTGACAATATCCCTTCATTTGCAGGACAAATCTTTTTCAATTATCTCCCCTCCACATTAGCTATTATCTCTTGTAGGGAAGAATTCATTCTGAAATCTCTCCATAATATGCACAAGTGTGGATGCTCTAGCTTATCTTTTTAAAGTCAAAATGGAAAGATAGCCCTTTATTATTTATTTCCTTAAAATTCAATGATTGTATTTGTTGGGAGGAGGACCATGAAAGGCCAAGTCCGGCCCTTGAATATGTGGTTATTACTAGTTATATTTTTTCATGTAGTGGTAAACTTTTGATTCTAACAAGTAATATAAAAGCTAGATCACGAGTTATAAACTGTGCAATTAAGACTAAGTGTGCTAGGAGAATTATATATTATAAATGTAGTTATTAGTTATAATTTTTGATGTAGTGATAAACGTCATGTTCGAGTCTCACTTGGGAACCAAATTTCGCAACTTAGCGTTACCGTCTTCCAACCTATGAATAGGCAATTAATATATATTTCGTAGAGTTAATTTTCAAAATGGTCCTCAGACTATGACATTTTCTCAAATTGGTCCCTTGACTTTTAATTTTTTTCAAAGTGGTTCTTTGACTTTTGAATTTTAAGCTAAAATGATCCTCACTTAGCTTTGGCGTTAAGTTGGTGTTAAAATGAAGGGTAAAACTAAAAATTTAGATTTTTCACTCCAATTTAAATAGATCTGTGATTTGTTTTAGCATATATTTTTTCAAATTAAGTTTTTACAATCAAAATGTGGGATAATTAAGTAAAATGTTAGAAATCTTTGCCATGGGAAGATTGTGGATAAAGTTGAAGATGAACTTTTATTCTAATATTTCCTTGTCAGGACAACACTGTTACTGTAAATGGAAATGCAAACCAATTAAGAAGCTAAGCTTTCATCAGTCCAATCAGGTAGTAGAAAAGCTCAAGAACAGCCACCGGAGGCAAACCCCAGTTTCCCTCCGGCAACATCGTACACCACCTCCAATGTCTGCTGTTGTAAGTTGCCGAAAATTCCCACATCATCGTCGTTTCCAAAAAAAGCCAGACAGACTTGTGAACCGCTTTTGTCCAGCGACAGCATGACCACTCTAGGATCCAAATCAACCACCACATTACCACCAAACGTGAAGCTTATCTTAGGTATGGTCAGGTTAGGATTCTTGTTGAAGTCATAGCAAGCGTCAAAGCCAGAGGTGGGCGCTGCCGGCCGGTACATTGTCATCTCCTGCTTGAAGGCATCCCGCAGAGCAGTGTAGGCCGCCGTGGGTAGTCGGGTTATGAACGTCCCGGAGTCTATGACTGTCCCGGAGCTCTTGAACACTGTTGCACTGATTGGCAGCCGGCGACCATTAACACTTATGGCCAAGACATCAATGAAGTAAAAATCCGTTGTGGCCTGTGAACTCAAGAGAGGTGTGTAGTTGACAATATTGTTAGTCGAACTACTCTTCCCGAACGTTAAGTGTCCGTCGGATCCTGTTTGTGTGGGGAGGCAATAGGAGAAGTATTTCCCATATTGTTGAGATGTTTGGGAGACTATAGAGAGTGGGTCTCTGCCTAAACCCATTATTCCGGCACTGTCGCTGCCCAAGAGATAGTTTTCTTGGCCGCATCCGAACAAGAAGCCGTCCACGACATCCGTGGAGGTTAAGGTTAGCTTGTCCTTCCCGAACTCGCCCACGGAGGATGTTCCGTCGCCGTAGATCGCGCTGTAGACGCAGGTGGTGGAGCCCTGCAGGCAGCCCGGGCGTAGGGAAGTGGCGGACAGGAGCGCGGAACATGAATCCGAGGTACATGATACGTTGGAATAGGTTGTCGAGGTTGCCGGGTCGAATATCGGGACGGGCTGCTTGTAGCATTTCCCGGCGCACGGTTGGCACTGAGTCCAGGTGATATGGCTGCCGGTGTCGAAGATCAGAATCAGCTCCTTTTTTGGAGTCCCGAGTCCCACCGTCACGATGTAGCTTCCTATGCCGCGGCCCGCCGGGAGATTTGCACTTTTTGACTCGTCGCTCATTATCCCTCCTTTGTTCTTGGCCATGTTGAGAGATCTAGATTTAACCCGGGCTTTTATTGAGTTGACTCGAGACTCGTCGTGCCGCAGAAGCTCAGTCATGGTTGGTGGGTCTTGGTTCTGGGCTGAGCAGGGACCGAACCTGTGAACAACCTTCATGGATGCCTTTCTACTTGGACCTGAAATACATACATACTTTTGAGCATATAACCATTAATGTGCAATCCAACTATCAGCATAACCTTTTAGTTGAGATGGAGCACATGCTTTCAATTTAGTATCAGAGCCAAACCAAGCACATGCTTCAATTCATACATTAAAACATCACTGGACAAATAGCCTAAGTTAATTCAGCTACTTTTTACTTGGCAACTACAAGATTCTAAATTTGTGAAAGCTACTTATTTAACTTTTTTTGAGCCGATCACTTTACATCTTTGTAATCTTTTACTTGATCACAAGACTTGATTTACCTAGTGCCAATGCTGTAGCATGCGCTAGAGGCTAGTCGGGCCCCTACCACCTAGAGAATCTAGGGTGCATCTTATACTAGTAGAAAAATAGGGTGGTCTACACTTTACACATAAAAAAAAAAAAAAAAAAAGGGACCAGTTGGGCACCACGTTGCTTGGCCGACTCTGGAACCGAGTTTGGCTGACTCAGGCGATGAGTTGCCCGACTCGAACGCCCCTAGACCGCTTTGTCGGTTGTTCAATATCTGCCTAAGTGTAAAATCTCCTTGACCTAGGGGTGACTAGCTAAATGGTGGCCTAAAAATTTTTTTACACCAATAGTTAGTGCACACCATTTAATAGTGACTGTGGATTTTACTCTGTAACCAAAAATTAGAAAGATCAAATTGAACAATGAATATAATGACCTTTGAAAGTAGTTTGGTTGCAGACAAAGGGTGGAAGCATGGATCTGAGTGGAAGAGTATGGTAGTGATGAGCTTCTAAGCCGCCAACTCTTCCTCTAGAAGCATCCCCCTTCTCTAAACTGCATGAAATTATGATAACCAGAAGGAAAACATTTGCAGAAAATGATTGAAGAAGAAGAAGAAGCTTCAACATCCTATCTGCACTACTTAGTTTTCCAGGACAACCCATTCTTAATTCAATGTTTGGATCACCTCTCTTTCTCTGCTCTCCATGCATGGCTTTTCTATATGCATATATAGGACTTGTACGTATATTTTTCTTTTAATTTTTTTGTGAAGTTCTTGTTTGCTTGACCATCATTGGAGACTTGGACTATTGGAGTCGTCAGTCAACGGAGAATATTAATGAGTTTCATACAGCTTTTATTAAATTCAATAGACTTTGAACCCAACATGTCGCAACTCTTTGTTTCACATTCGATCTTCCACTTTTATTAATTAAACTCCATAGCTTAGCTTAGAGTAAATACCCAAAATGATCTTTCAACTATAGTTAAATTCACAAATTGGTCATCGATTTTCAATTTTAATCAATTAAGTCCTTAACTTTACAATTTTAACACGATTTAGTCCTTCGAACACTTCTGCATTAACGTCCGCGCCCGCGCCGTCATCGACGATCTCCAGAAGAACCTGCAACTCTCATCGGAGCACATGGATGCCTCCAGGATGATGCTGCACCGATTTGGAAACACGTTGTCTTCTTCACTCTGGTACAAACTCAACTACATTGAGTCCAAAAGGAGAATGAAGAAAGGCGACAGGATTTGGCAGATTGCTTTCAGCGGTTGATCCAAATGTAACAGTGCGGTCTGAAAATACAACCGGAACCTTAAAAAATTGAAGAT